ATGAGCAATTATAATCACATACAAAATTTGTGATAGCATTTGAATGTGGGTAGCTATGATTGAAGAGACCCAGTATGGTCAAAACATAGCATAGGTCAAAACATTTTTAAACTTTCAGTCTTTTCAAACTAACTTATGAACAGTAGCTGTAGCCAGAGGGAGCCAAGGGGAAACATCTATCCCCAAGTGCAACATCCAGGGGGTACCAAATTAATGTTTCAAAATTTTAGAACGAAATTTTTTCCATTCTTAACAAACAGAAAGGGTGTAAAATCTTCATTTGTCCTTGGATGCTGAAAGCCCTAGCTACGGCTCTGCTTGTGACAGATATTCGATGGAAAATTGAATGAAAAGTCGAAAGAGAGTCAATGGGAAAAGATTCTTCCTAACACAGAAATCAGATATTTATCTAACTGTGAAGAAGCCAAGGCAATCACTGGAGTTCTGTGCCCAAAAAGTTGAAAATGTAAAAGTTCTGGATACCTGGGGAAAATTTTCATGATAGTTTCGCTACCAAGTTTTCCCTTTTATACTTTCAAAAAGTCCATTAGATATAAAGTATTATGTTATATTTAATTTTTTTTTTTTTTCATTTATAAAGCAAGTGAAATTTTGCTAATGCTGCCAGCTTTGCTACAAAATATCCTGGTATTGTTTTGATATGTTATAAGTTATAAATGCATAAATTTTTTCATGGGGCCCTTTTAAGGGGAATTAGTGTTCATATCCATTTTACATAGAGGAGAAAACCACAAAAACTCCCATGCAGACATTTCATTCGCCAGGATTTGAACTGGAGTTTATCTACCTGTTTTCAACAATTTTACTGTGGGCCGCTTGATGGATCTTAAAAATTGTTTTAATATATGTAAAAATTCGAAGCTAATGCATGGTTTGCAACACTGCCATTTATAGGCATTAATGATGTGTGCATTGATGTATATTGCATATCAATGGATATTCAGTCAGCTAGTTCCTTATTATAAGTATAATAGCACTTGGCTTGGCATCACTTCTTATTTTAAAAATCATTGAATTTTAATTTTCCTATTCAAGTGAAAATAGTAAGACCTGTGGTGGTGAGGTTAGCCTTGTGGATCATTCAGGCAGATGAAGACCAAGATTCTGAATTGCCATATGGAATTAGTTTAAGAAGATTTTTCTGTAGGTCAGGGATCCAAAGAAATCACCTTGAGATTTCAGCAGCTACACACTTTTATACCATTTTTATTCCTCAAAGTTTGAAAATCATGAATATCGATGAAATTATGATCACGGTGACATTAAGCCTTCAGGAGTTGCAAGATTAAGCACTTCTTTCTTCCCATATACGCTTGATATCTGTCATTCGTAAGTTTGCAGTGCCAACTGCGTTTGTTTGCACCCCACTGCGATGCTTAACTGAAATGCGAGCTATCTCATTAATAACCATCAAAAGGTTAATAAGGAAGAATTCCTCAGTAAGACAGAAGTGTTTCAAAAAAAAAAAAAAAAAAAAAACAGGAATGTGGAAGGGAGTGTTGATATTTTGCAATTTATCCTAAAATGCAGTTCTTCAGAACAAAGTTCCAAATAATGTAATACTGTTGTGAGCTTTTCTCATAGTTGCTGTAAGTGTTTCTAGCTAAGAGTTTTTTAAATAAAAATCATTTTAGAATGACAAATGTTTAATTTTGCATTTAAGAAATAGTTCTATACTATGTATTAGTGTAACAGCAAATGGAGTGATCAAGTGGGCCTCTACTCTGTAATAGGTGGTTTTACAAACAGATGATGATGATAATAATAATAATGCAATTTTAAAATGATGGAATTAAAATTTTTCTTCAGAAATAAAGGTAGATTTATTAATTTATTCTCCTCTGTGTCATGTTTACATTCTTTAAAGTTATTTGCTTATATGAAGAGGTGTGACAATTTTGAAGATTGCCCGAGCGGACAGCAAATGTTCTAGTTATGCCACTGGTCATGTATGACATATACATATATATATGATTTTATTGTGAGGATTATGAAAATATTTTCTTCAGTTTCTAATTTATCATTCAAATCGAAGAAATTTTCAGAATAATATACCCTTTCTAAGATAATCTTCCTTATTTCCAAAAGATTGCTTTTCTGTGAAGGTGATTGTTTAAAAGAAATGATGTTCAGTTTCAATGTTTTATGTATGTTTCAGAAATACTGGTCATTTTCAGAGGTGGACCCCTTAAGTTATCATTCAAGAAGTTCGACTATAATATGATTGAACGTTTTTTTATATTCTTTTGTCCCTTGGTAAAAATTTGATAATGTCCAGTGCTGAATCGATCAAAATTCCTAAATAAAAAAAGAATAAAAACAATGTAATGCTAGCTTTCTGGGGGGAGATAAAAGGGTGGCTTTGATTATTAATAATTGTTATCCTAGGGTTTATAATTCTAATAAGTGAATCAGTGTCTTTAAATATTGTAACTGAAATTTACTAAATCAACAGAAGGCAATGAATAAACAGAAAATATTAATTTATTACATTACTAGCATTGCACAAGTGAATGGTAATATCTTCTTTAAGACAATCGCTGAATGTCTGAAAGAAAATATTACCATTCACTTGTGCAATACATTCAATCACTGAATGTATTTTCTTGCTGCTTTGAAAAAGGCCTATAGATCCCCTACAGAAGCCTTTTTTAACTGTCCAGTATTTCAAATGGTGTTCATAGCTTAAGGCATCGCATTATTTATTTAAATCCTAATGCAGTGTTGTTTTATCCCAGTCATTAGCTTCAGTTCTCTTTGGCATTTCATTTTTTCTATAAAAACTAATTTTTTTATAAAAAATTTCATTTTGACCTCAGTGAGAATCTTTCCAAAAATCAGTGCCATCTACTGACGAGAGGTGACATTCACTTTTCCGAAAGCTTACTCTTAAGGTAATATGTATGTGCAAAATTATGCTCTGCAAATCCAAGGGCTTATTGTATTGTGTTTTTTGCAATGCATTTTTTCCTTTATCTTAAAGTTATGATATGTTAAAACGTACAATTTCTCATTTGACACGTATATTCATTCATTTTACTAATAGTCCTAAAACTTTGAAAATGACTTAACACAGAAAGCCGATCTTTAGAAGATGAGTCGGTTAAATTTTCTGCAAACAACAAATTCCAGTGAATGTTACAAAAATTCATACTTTATTAAGTATGAATTTTTGTGATCACATGCACTTATAGCTGTGTATACTTATAAAAAATATACTCATATAACTTTTTTTAATAACAAGTACCACATAGCCCTAACTGTTAACTGATAAACACAACTTAGGCTAATAAACTTGTTAACATGTAGTCTTTCTGCATATAAATAAGTTTATCCTAGAGTTTGCATAGATATTGCTCTTTTCTTGGTTTCCAAACTATGGTATGTAATGTACCTGTATGAAATATGATTTTCCAGAGACTTTTTTTCTGAATAACCTAAATGCCACTCTATGTCCTGATATCACTATATCTCAAATAAATGCTGGTACTTATATTTAGTTCAACTACCTGAGAAGAAATCATCAAATTTTCAGAATGTACCAAACTTTGGCAACAATGCACATAAAAGTTCTTCAGGTTTAACAAGCAATGGTGCCATTTTCATGTGTTCTTTTTATTGAAACAGTTTTTATAGACAGATCATGATATTATTTGTCTTTAACTCAATTCTAAAGTATGTAAAATTTGCCTGCAGTGGGAAAAACTGTGGTAAAAGTTTTGTGGGAATATATATTTTTTTCATAAAAATGGGAAACAAAACAATTTTTTAAAGTATAGCAATAGACTGCATATTGCAATTTTCATCATCATTGGTGAAATGTTTTTTTTTTTTTTTTTCTTTCAAGTGAAAATTGATCACTGTGTGCATGGAAAGAACAGCAGTGGTGGTGGTGGAAGAGTAGCATTTGTCTTGTGTGGAAAAAAAAAAAGAATGTAAAACAAAAGGTTGACACTGGATACATTGTTAAAATAGGTGTAAAGATATTTCTCTCTAAAATTGTCCAGTTTGTGACTTTTGGCAGGGGGGGGGGAGAGGCAGATAATCAGAAAGTACCAAAATCCATTATAAACTTTCTTATTCCTAACATGATGAATTATTTTCAGTAGCTCATTCACTGCTTTTTTTTTTTTTTTTTTTTTTTTTTTTTTTTTTAAGGTATGAAGTCTGTTCTGTTTTCAAGCAAAATTTTCTTGGGAATTACACTCTGCCAACAATTAAATAAATAAAATATGGTCAGTTCTTTGAAGTTTTTAAAAGTAAGGTTTTCATAGCCAGGATGATTTTTTTCCGCTTATGCTGACAGTTATCAGTTTGAATTTATGTAATGAGCAAAACAAATGTAGTAGTGATTTTTAAAAAAAAATTAAAATTACTATTTGCCATATTAATTAAATCCTTAACATTTTACTTTTTTCATCCTTTAAATGCAAAATAGCAAATACAGATTAGGAAATAAAAATTCCATTTAAACTCTTCTATAAAGAGATAATGATATATTGGTACTTATTATGACAAGCTATTATCTGGCAAGTCTGCTGTGACTAAATTGGCATTCATAGAATGTTATAGTTACATTGTGTATGCACAGGCAGAGAAATATACTTTGTAGTATAAATATGATGTTGCAGAGAAAAATTAATGGCACTTAATTCACCAATTCAAAATGCATAATGTGTTGGTATTATCTTCAAATATTTTTGACTGTTGATCAGTGAAATTTGTAAATTTCAACTTCAGGCTTGAAGTTGAAATTAGGCTTGAAGGCTTGGGGTTGATTTTAAATGAACAGATTCATTTAAAAGAAGCAGTCAGACATGGACTCTTCTCATGAACCAGTAGTCCAAAATTTGGTACCTAAGTTAATTTGCCATCTGAACTTTTTTCAGCTAACATTATGCACCTTATCTTCTTTCTATAAAAAAAGTTTTATGTATAAATTCTTGGAAAATTGAAGTCCCATTTTCTCTTCTTTTCAGGCTAATCTCAATGCAATTAGAAGATGTTTGCTTTTACATTATAATGCTGATGATATTGTTGATCTTAGGCAGTAGTAAGTCATGTCAAAAGTTTTAAACTTCAAATTTAATATGTTTATTTTTTAAATGGTATATGATGATTTTTATAAGCATCTTATTTTCATTAGGTATTAGATTTTCCCCAACAAACAAACTAATCAATGTAATGATTACTGAACATCTTTTTTGCGGCCACAAAGCAAACAAAAATATGTCAAGTAGATAATCAGATAAAATCATTTATGGTACTAACGAAGATGATAACTAATGCTTTTATCTCCATTTCAAATCTCTTTCAGCAAAATAAGAAATAGAGAAGTTTGGTAAAATGGAGCCGGGGGGGATAATAAAGAAGTAAAACTATACTGTATAGCACATTATTTAATATTAAAGATTACTGCTGTGTTTCAAATATGTCTTTATTCAGTAATATAATAGCGCATCATGATTATTTTGATTAGGGATGGATAAGGCTATTGGGCATTAAAAACATTTCCCTAGCCAGGGCATGTGATGCTGCTTTGTTACCTGATATTGATGTTTTAAAAAAAGATGAAACATTAATCATAATTGTAGAATTGATGCATAAAAAATGATTAACTAAGGAAAAATAAGATGAACTAATGGTAACTATATTTAACTCAGTGTCTTAAACCCATTGTTGTTAGCTCATTGTAAATTCATAATTATTGTTCTAATTCTTTATGATACAAAAGTAAGGAATTTTCTATTCCCTCCACTTGGAGGATTCCATAGAATGTTATAAAGATGCTAGCCCCTCTATGTAAATTGGTGACTGTTTGTGAAGATTAACCTGCACATGGTATTCTGGCAGGCTTGATGAGGATGGCTTTCCTCATGGCACTGAATGTCATAATGGGGCTAGTATATTTGCACCTTAATAAAACCTGGTAACTGTGAAAAAGGTTCTGCCACTTTTTTTCTCAAGTTGTCGATGCTGGTTAGACCAATCCCATCTGCCCCTGATTGTGATCAAAGAGTAAACCTTGCGACTTTTTTTTGGGGGGGGGGAATAAAAGTTGGATATCCTCCAGGATTTTGACACTCATTATTACTTCTTTAAAAAATTTTGATGCAAAAGTTTTTAATATTTGATATGCTGTAATTTTTCTTTTAATTGCTTGCTTTTCTCAGTTTTGCTTTAAATGTCTTCGAATATTTTTCTTGAATAATTGAAAGCTTGTCATAAAGCTTATTTATCTGTGTGAATAGGGCTTTTTTGCAAGGATCTTTAGAAATCAAGAATTTTTTGAATAATTTATCATTTTTCAATTAAAGCTCAAAATGCTGGCTTAATTGTGTCTGAGAAAACTGATGTATATCATTAAAACTGCTTTCTGATGTTTTTGAGCCCATGTGTAATGTGAATATAAGCCAGTTTCTCTTAGGAATTCATTTATGAAGACTAGTAGCCGTAGTGTGCTTTCCCATAATTCAATAATCAAAGCTTATGTTTCGAAACAGCAGGTAACATTTACCCTGCAAATTCAAAATATGCTTCTCTTTTACTTACATCTCCTTCACTAACACACTCAGATAGCTTTTGTTAGCAAAATTGGAGGATGAATTTTTTTGTCTTTTCTAACTAATAATTCTTCTTATTTTAAATTTTTTGTACTTAAAAGTTATTTTTTTTTTTTTTTACTTATTTCTTTTTAAAGTTTGACATCATTTCTTGTAATATTTAAATGTTGCTATGTTTTCAGATAAAACTATTAAATCACTGGCAATAATTTTCATATTGTATAAAAAAGTAGGATTTCGGCCTTAGCTAAATCAAAAGAATCCTTTACAGAGCACTAGCAGTAATAGTACAGTAGTGTCTAACATTGTTTTGGACTCAATATTTGGAAACTTGCATTCCCCCCTGTTATTGTAAAGATGTAAAAATGCCTGTATATTTTAATTATAGTTATTTCTGCATCAAAGGTAGTAAAAAGCACTACTGCATACGCAGTTTTGAATAATATGAGTTTACACCCAAGTCAAAAATGATTTCCAATTCTTGTAATAACTGTGTATGAAAAATAGTTTTATTGTAGCTTCTCATTCATCTAAATTTGTTTTATTTCCCAGTACTTTTCTGTTAATAGGATGCCACTCAGTATCGAAACATGGCAGCAGTCCTAGCAATATGTAAAGCTTCACGACAAGCATGACTGTTTTATTAAATCTAAATACAAAAAATTAAGATGAATACAAAATATATTTTACCAGATTAATTTCAGATTATAAGGAAGCATAAATTGACGATTTTAACATAGACAAGAGAATATTTGTTTTATCATTCGCTGCCACATAAATTTGATAAGTCAGGGATCTAGATGGTGGCAATCAATGCTACACTGAAGTTTAATTTGCCATTTTGCACAAGGCATCAAACATCAGGATCAATAAAGTTGTAACTTGTTAATAAAATTTGTTAACTTGGAGGTATTCATATCTGGGAGCTGCCAATTCATTCACTTAAGCAAATAAAAACCTAATATAAAAAAAATTCCTATGTACCCCATCCCATTATGTTTCATTTTATTTTGCCAAAATACATTGTGGAAGTGCAGAATTATGATTAACCATAAAAGTAGAAATGTTGCTTTTATTTTACTTATAGTGAATATTTAGTTTAGTTAAGTAAAAATAATACATTTAAATCAGTTTATAAAGTATTCTCTGAAGTAGATCAGTTTTATAACTGACATTAGTTAAAGGTGAAAATTCTTTTGTGTTCTTTTAAACCAACTTTTAAAGACTATCAGGATTTCCAGAGGAAATGTGAAAAATCAACTGTGTCCTTACTGGGATTTGAACCACTGATCTTCCTATATATAGTTAGATACAACACAAAAGCATGCACAGGAAAATGTGTTAATTCCTTACATTCTTCCTTACTTAAAGGTAAAATGGGGAGATGCATGAGATATAAACAATCAAATCAAACTGGTAATGAGTTATTATCCACCACACTTTAGTTCAGGTGCCATGTAGAGATTATTAGGATTTTTGGAAGATAAAAAGGGGAAAATCAACTAGCCATTGCTGAGATTTAAACCTAGATTGTTAGTTAAGATATGCTAACCACAAGAGAATGCTTGGGGGAAGTGTAGTAATTTCTTACAAATTTTCAGCTTGCATTATTTTAAACCAACTCACTTTTAATTCAAGTTTATTTGAAACTGGGATTCAGTGGTGTAAATAAGGGTATGCAAGGAATGCAGTCGCATAGGGGTCCGAAGGCTTAGGGGACCCATGAATGTCCTGCTGAACTACATTTACATATTTAAACTTAAAATAAAAACTTAAAACATGTATAAAAATCATGTATTCGAGTAGTTTAGTGTACCAAAAAGTTTTAAAAGAAAGGGGGGAAATCTTTACCATACTTATTTTCTACAAAAATTGTATGTTCAAATAGTTTTCTTTATGAAATTTATGATAAATATGTTTTATATTTAACAATTGTATCATTTACATAAAAGTCTTATTTAGGACTTGTATATTATTGCATAAGTCATTTCAAAGCTCAGTTGATCACAGAGCGCTATATATTAGTGTATTTCTTTTTGTACGTTACCTATCATGTTGGCTGTCAGTTTATAACATAACCAGTTATTTACTAGCTAGCTAAATTAAGCAAAAAAAAAAAAAAAAAAAAAAAACTTGGATTGGCGCAGATTTTATATAGAAACTCGAAATATACTTGCCACTCGAAATATACTGGCATGTAAAACCTACTGGATTTTATTTAAAAGTCTCCGCAAATCTAGACTTTCTTCCCCCCTTTTTTAAGCACAGTAAATTTATTGGGGGGCAGGAAAATGTTTTGCACAGGGGCCCAAAAGTTCTAGCTATGCCACTGCTGAGATTGTATATAATAATTAATAAAAAGAGAGAAACATTTATATGCTATAAATTGGAATTTTAAACAATACTTGAATGCACAGTATAGCTTTAAAAACTTATCATATGTTAAACTTTGATGAATAAGTATCAAATTATGTTTTTCTATAAAAAAGGAAAAAAGGATACCTTAAGCAATAGGACTAATGTATATTTTTCTAGGGTATGTTTAAATTTAAACACAAGGTGGTCAGAATTTTAAAAAAAACCCTATTCTGAGCATCAAACTACTGAGTGAAAAGGCTCCAAAATTGTTGAACATACTATTCAAGACATGGGGAAACAGATTACATGAAAAAGAAATTAGTTCCAGAAACACCAATAGATAGTGCTGTACAACAGAAAATATGCTTTAAAGATACAAAATACATATCTGTAACACATTTTATTCAAATGTACCAAACAGTCATATCACACCGACCTTATTGATACAAAGCAAGCTGCTTAATTTGGTTCTTTTCTTCCAGATGTAAAATCTGCACTCTGAGAACAGCTTGTTCAACTGTGAATCGTAATTGGTCGATTGACATGCTTCTCACTTGCAGAGTGATACTGTCTTTCAAATCTGCCAAGATTATCAGGCATGTTCTCGATAAAAAAGATTTGTTAAGTAACCCCACAGCTAAAAATCACAGGGATTAAAATCTGGAGAACGAGGTGGCCAGGTTATATCAGAAACGCAAGACTAATTACTCATATTAATTAGTATGTTTACGCACCTCCTGGCCGTCACGGTGCATGTCGCAGGGCCATTGCGCGTAGCCACTTTGAAAAAGAAAGGTCCAAGAATGAATGTGGCTGTGAACCCACAACAGACTGTAACTTTCGGTGAAGTTGAATCTCTTGGAAGGTATGGGAGTTTTCATGTCCCAAATGTGACAGTTATGGATGTTAACTGTTCCACTTACATGGAAACGTGCTTCATTGCTCCATACAATCTGCTGCTCCATTACCGCACAAGCTCTCTTTTTTTTTTTTTTTTTTAGGTTATTTGAAATCTTTTCAGCATATTTTCTGAATATGCTGAAAAGATTTTAAATAATCTAAAAAAAAAAAAAAAAAAAAAAAAAACACTGCTTCCATTTCAACTCTAGCAAGAAATGTCAATGGAAACGTCAATCACTTCTCCATGTCGATGGGTAGCAACTGCTGATTATGACGAATTTTGTACGGTAAAAATGTAATGCTTTTCGCAATACGTTCTGCACTGTACTGTAGGGAAAGACCCAGGTGCTGTGACACTGCACGTGCACTACTACAGCCTACAACGTTATCCATTGACCGTTCAACAGTAGCGGTGGCAACATCTTCAGTAACATCTGAATGAGTTGATTTGCGTCCTCGACCCAGCAGAACTCTTAAGAGCTCCAGGGTTCTCAAATCAAGCGATCATCCTCCTGAGAGCTTGTGGAAGTAATTGTCCTTTGCATAAATTCTTAAGTCGACAAAACTCTCAAAAATGCAGCTGCAGCATTTCCTTTGTTTTCATAAAACAACTTCACAAGCAAAGTGTGTTCTGGCAGTGTGACAGCCATCGCTGATAAGTATGACATTTTTTAAATTTTATCCTCTTTTATGCCCAGAACTGTACCTGTGAACCAGGGTTTTATACGAATTTTTGTTCTTACAGCATGACAGCTTAAGTTTCTTCACTTTTTTTATTTCCTTTTTTTTATGTCAGCAATAGAAATTAAAAAGGTAAAATTCCATTACCGCACGAGCTTTTTTTTTTTTTTTTTTTTTTTTTTTTTGAGATTATTTGAAATCTTTTCAGCATATTTTCTGTTGTACAGTTCCATCTATCGGTGTTTCTGGAACTAATTTTTTTTCATTTAATCTGTCTCATCTTGAATAGTATATTCACCAATTTGGGAGCCTTTACACTCAGTAGTTCGATGTATAGAGAGCCCAGAGTATGGGTGTGTTAACTCTGACCACCCTGCACTATTTTAAAAGAAGTTGAAATGTTAAGAAATAAAAATTTTTTTTAAAAAAAAAAGATGGTTTTAATACCTCATAAATGTTACAATTAAAAAAAAAATGTGTTAAGAATGTTATATTTCAGTGCCATAAAAGTGGTTCCAACTGGAGTCAGCAAGGCTGTTAAAAAGTTGATCCAGAGTAAAGTCCCAGATCTTAGTCATTATCAAGATATTACAGAATTTGTACAAAAGTCTGGAAATCTTTCAGAAAGTGAAGCAGAGTTAGACAATGCTGTAAATACAGTGACTCTTCCACAGCCAATCTCCTCAAGAGGTAATATCGCATCTGAGAAAAGTGCTATTAGGTAAGAATAATTTTTAAAAATGATTTTATGTATGTTTTGTGTATATATATATACATACATACATATACAAGGTGTCTGTTAAATTCCATGACTTGGACTAATACAATGGAATGAATAATATAAAAACAAACATATGTTTAATAGTCCTCAAAATAATCACCTGCGGCAGTCACACACTTTTGTGCATGGCAGTACAAGTTCTGAAAACTCGCTTTGTAGTCCTTTGAAGATATGCCTTGAAGTTGAGCGATTATGTTTTTCTTTATGTCCTGAAATCGGTGCTCTTTCAGAGCAGTCTTAAGTTTTGGGAAAAAGTAAAAGTCAGGAGGTGGAAAATCAGGAGAATATGGAGGATGATTAACTTCCATGTTTTGTCAAAAAGCACTTCACATTGAGAGCAAAGTGGGGCCTCGCGTTGTCATGCAGTATGAGCCAGATGCCTTTATCCATATTTAGTCGCACACAGTGTACTCAACTAACCGATGCAAAACAGCTTCATAGTACTGTTTGTGGACAGTTTGATTAGGTGGCACAAACGATCAAGATGGATCAGTCCATGTGCATCATAGAAAGCAATCAACAGGACTTTCACTTTTGACTTCTGGAAACAGAATTTTTTCTGTTTTGGAAAAGATGGTAATCTTCATTTGGCACTCTGTCTTTTTGTTTCAGGAATGTACTGGTAACACCAGGATTCTTCGCCTATCACAATCGATTGCAAAAACAACTGATCTCGGACAGCTGTGTCAATCAAGTCCCCACAAGCTTCCATTCTGCATAGCTTCGTATCGTCTGTAAAAAAATGTGCCGCAAACCGCAAGCAAATCTTTCTCTTTCCAAAATTCTCCCTTAAAATCTTGTACACTGTGTCCTTTCCCATATTTAACTCATCCGCAAGCATCCTAAAGGTCTTTCAGTGATCTGCAGTTACCAAAGCATAGACTTTTGGGACCTCATTTTCTGTTCGTTTTGTGATGTGTCTCCCATTGTGCTGGTCATCTTCCGTGCTTTCCCTACCATCGCAAAAGCGTGCATACCATTCGAAAGTATAGGAGCAGGACATAGCAGCATCTCCATATGCAATTTTCGTTTACTCGTAGGATTCACTAGCCATTTTCACAATTTTCAAACAAAACTTGATATTCAGTCTTTGCTCCATCACCAACCATGACACGCGCTCTAATGAACCACCTGCATTTACCTTCTTCAAACGGGTGGTGTGGTGTGGTGTATTTAATTATGGCAAAGCACACTAGGGCTATCTGCCTAAGGGGAGGGATGCCTTTCGTGGAGGACTTTTCTAAGGGAAACTGGCTCGTATACACGTTACACATGGGGAAAACCACGAAAATGCCCATGCAGCCAGCCCGTTCGCGGGATTCGAACCTCGGACCGAACTACCAGTGTTCAGCGACTTTATCGCTTGGCCGCTGGTGGGCTTCTTCAAACGGGAAATGCTGACACAATAACTGCACATTTGTTCCACCTTCGGTCCTCATTGGTTACGCTATCACATCTGCATGATGACGTGTTCCTTCACATTTTCATTCATTAACTACACGTACAGTCCTGGAGTTTAATAGACACACCTTGTATAATAAATGTATATAAATATAATGTGTGTGCAGTGCTTTTCAGTTATTAAAAACTGTATTTCAATCCTGAAATAAAAACTCACAAAGCACTTATGAAACTTTACATCATTGGCTTGTTTTACTGGAAGCTAGTTAATATGTTGTAGAATGTCATATATGTTGTGTATGTATTTAAAGCTTGATCAAGATATGAAATAAAATGAAGTTTGAATTCAAGCAGTGCTTTGCTGTGTTAATCCCTACCACTCACCAGCTACTTTTCAGTTTTTATTTTTCGTCTTTATATTGGGTTAATGCAAATTTTTTTTTTTTTTTTTTTTAAGGTTTAAATTACTAGTGAATCTGACATCTTACATGACATTATGATGTCAATAGAACATGTAGGAGACAGCATGTAAAGGCAACATGCTTTTAAGTGTAAATCATTCGGTAAAAAATTTCAAATTATGAAAATGACAAAGGATAAGGAGGATATCAGGCATTATTTGTTGTACAAGTTTGATAGGGGTAGTATTGAAGTCTTAGCATTATGAAATTAGTCGAGTGCAGAGGAGAGAGATGCTTTTGACAACAGCACATATTTTCACTTGTTTAAAAAATTCAGAGATGGAGGTAGAAGCTGTAAAAATCAACCATATTCTAGATGTGCATCACTGGTTTCTAACTAGATTCTCGATCAACCTATATAATAAAGTCTTAACCTTCCAGAATGGAAGAAACATCAGGCAGATTGTCATTTATAACTGTATTTAAAAACTTAACAAATAAATTTCGTGATAAACTCAAGAACATAGTATTTTTGCTGGCAGAAAAATCCCCATAGATGCATGAATGCATCTTTTTATTACCAGCTGTCAAAACATTCTCTCCTCCTTATCTTTCTGCTCTGTAACGAGTAATGAAATACAGCAGGGAAGTCAAGTCCAAAACTTCCTTTTTGGGAACTTTTCTCTTTTGCTGCAGAAGACTCTCCAAAGGGCTGTCTGAATGGTTGGGCTTTTTTAACCATTAATTGAAATCACATGTTGTAATGGTACAACAAATTCTTCCTAGGAGCTTGGAGAAGTCCAGGCTAGTCTCTAAATTACATCTCCTAGAGTCACATAAATGTCAATTTAAGTTGAACAGAGAACAGGGTTTGTATGGTCCGTAAGAGCCCTTAAGTTTTTTGGAGTAGATTTTTGGTCCTTAAAAGTCCTTAATTTTTGTCAAAATCAGCAGAAGGTCCTTAATTTTATTGATTTGAAATTTCTGTCTGTTTTTACGACTACCATTTTGAGTGTGAATTAGCATTTTATTGGAATATTTTTGGCAATTCACTGACAAACAAGCTTGGTTATCTTTTGAATTGCTGAATGGGTTCATGGGTTATAATATGTTCTTATTTCTAAGATAAATGGTGGGATACTCAAGTTCTGAGCAAGAAGTGAAACATAAGCATTTCAAAATTCATTTTTCGTGTCATTTTTTCTAATGACAACTTTCTCTTAAACAACTTTTTGCTTTTGGAGATGTGAATTTTTTTATTAAACGATTCTAAATTTGGCAACGTATCAACATTTTGGCGATTTTAAGATCAGTTTCTGTAGAAAATTTTTCATTTTGAGATCTGGGAATTTTTTGATGATTTCTTTTAAAACATAGTAACATTGATAAATTTCATTTAAATAATGGTAATATATTGAAATTATGCTTAAAAAATAACTTAAGAATGAAGCATTTTTATTTTTTAACCTTATATAATAAAGTTCCATTTTGGCCACTTATTTTGAATCTGAAAAATAAACAAGGTATAATGCTTAAAGCACAGCTTACAAAACAGTTCTTAGCAAAAGCAAAGAAGCTATGTAATTAATTAAAAATGTCTTTTTAGTTTTTTCATGGTAAGAGTTTTTCCTATGTAATTGTCTCAGAATGTGCATTAGTTTTCTATATAAAATTAATTTTACACTTTTTCCCTTTGATTTTTTCCTTTCCAAAATATTTCTGGCTTTCCACTGTTACAGAATTGGTAGAGGTAATTTTCTTTAGGATTTTAAACATTGCAGCTTAGAAAGTTAAGAAGGATTTGAAGGCCAGATGCACAATTGTAGAAGATTTTTAAAAAAATGTGACAAAATGAAAAATGTCTCCATGGTATAAACACATAATGGATGTATTTTATATAAAGTTTGAATTTGTTATGACGATAGAATTGCTGAGCCAGCTTAAATTAAAATTGTATAGTCTCTGACCACTAGTCCACATTTTTAGTTTGAATTTGACTCTTCTTGTTTAATTACATCACCAAGAGCTGTAAATTATTTTCTTAGCCTTTATAGAGGCTTATTTAAACCTTTAACTTAAGACATAGCGATAATTTGCTGTCGGTTGGGTGGATTATAACTTTTGCCAGATAAAGTAAACCTCATACATTGTGGAAAGATTTAAGTTATTAAATAAAATACGCAGAAACTAGCGAGAACACTGGTTTGCATATTGAGACAAATTTCTAATTGTTAGAAAAGATATGTAAAGAGAAGGAAATCAATATAAATTAGCCAAAATGTCTGGGAAGGCTTCAAATTAAAATGACACATAAATAATTTGTTGAGAGTTGTTGCTACAAAACATTTATGTTTTGTAGCTTTTAATGTGGAATTATCCTAATATCATTTAAGAATCAATGTCATAAATTACATGTATTTTAAACTGTGACATTTTATTGGATTGTGATTTTAATAGGGCTTTTTAACAAATATTGTTAAAAATATATAAAATTTAATAGTGGCCATGTAAATCCATAATGACTAAGGTTATCTAACTACCTAATTTAATTATCTGTAACTAATTGCTTACACTTAAAAATTATCTCTGCATATTGAAAACGTGCCATTGAATTTCATTAATCCTTACCGTGGTCACAAGATAAAATACACGCACACACACACACACACACACAAAAAAAAAAAAAAAAAAAAAAAAAAAAAATCATGTAAAACTTATTCTTTGCATCTAGTGAGACTTAAAATAATACAAAACAACTCATCACCTCTGGCGCTTTAGTGGCTTATTGGAACTGTAAAATACATTAACTGGGTTACAACCCCTGGAACTCTACACGAAGCTGCGACACATAATCGTCAGACAGAGCCCAATTAATTTTGAAAATTGCCAACCATGCCTAAATCAGGCCTTTCAGATTTGTTCTGATCACACCTCTCTCTAGGCATGCAGCAGCGGTGAATACAGCCAGTCTTTGTTATGAACCATACTGATTATTATTTTATTTCTCATTTTAATCTGTGCCACTTTACATAAAATCTACCTGCTAATAACTAAACCTGTAGTCTGAGAGACAAAAAAAAAAAAAAAAAAAAAAAAAAAAAAAAAACAAAAACTAATGCTAACTGTTAGTAAGATGTAAAAATAATGTCACGTATCTTCTTTCAAATATGTCCAACTATTATAATTGTAAAATGTTTAATGCTACTTGATAAACAGTTTATTTTATTCTCAAACTTATTAATAATTATGTTTAATAATAATGCATCCTACTTATAGATCTATTTTATTTTTAGGATGGTGTTATAAAAGTGAAGTTCAGGCATAGATAATATTTTTAAATGAATTTATTCAGTTCCCATTTGTTCATAAGTCCTTAATTTTTTTCATTAACGGTCCTTAAAAGTACTTAATTTCAGTGTGCAGAAATGTGTGTGAACCCTGGAGAAACATAAATCATCACAAATAATTCTGGGTTGAGCACCATGGATTAAAATAAAATTTTACATTGAAGCCAGTATAAAACAATACAAAATTGGAACCCAAACAATTAGCAAATGGGTAACTTCTTTACATTTAAAACACTGGTTATTGCCACCAAAATAAAACAAACCAGATATTAATAACTAATTTAATTGCATGCAGTAAACATACAATTTTAGTTTCTGAAAATAAATACACTACGATACACACATATATGTTAGCCCATAATACGGGCCAGGAATATGACATTCAAGAAGCAGAGTGCTCTGTCCAGCCTACTGATGTTGATGAGGCCTACCTGCGAGAATTTGTGGAAGATCAGTATGCAACCACTCGAGATCTTGCTAAGGTGTTAGGCATTAGTGCCATGTCCATTAGCCGCTCTATGCATAACATAAACTTGACATTGGATTTCTGAGTGACTCTTTGGATTCAGATAGCCTCCAAAATAGAAACACTGTACAGTGTAAATAGCCCACTCCATCATTATCAAAGCATTAACAGATGTAGTAATTTGTCCTTTATTTCTCTTAATGAGAAGAAAGATATCTACTAGCCACCAAAGTTTTAGGCACCACTAAGCCACCTAAAATCACTGCTTCATTCAGTTATACATAGAATTTTTTCCCTTTAGAATATAATGTCTGTCCAAAGACTGTTCCAAGACAAAAATGATTGTCTTGGAACAGGAAAAAAACTTGCTCCAAGACAGATTTTCTTCCTGCCATATAAGCAACGTCGGTGCTCCAATTACCCACAAGGAATTTGTTTTTAATTCCCCAAAATCGAATTGCACTGGAAGGATCTATTCTATGACCATATAATCGATATCCAAACTACATGGACACACACACACGCAAGTTGAATAACATCCCAAACAAGGACTTTGCTGACAGTTTCATATGGTTGTAGAATACCTAAAGCAATAAAACGTTTCTCCAGTCACATATTGCAGTACTGATTTTAGACACCTTAAAAATATTTTTAATAAATAAATAGAGATTTCATGACCTGCTGTATAATCTTTTATATATATGTAGCAAAAAATAGTGTTCTATTGTAGATTTAAACATATATATGACTATAAACTGTGCTAATAAATTTTGATTTATGCATAACTTTATTTTCAGACTTTATGAAATAGGCCCCAGAATACAATTACAATTGGTAAAGATTGAAGAAGGGCTAATGACAGGTGAAGTCATGTACCATAAATTCATAACTAAAAGTCGAGAAGAAATTGAAGCTCTAAAGGCTAGAATATTAGAAAAGAAGTATGCATTTTTCATATTTTAAAATTAAATTATTTTTAAGATGAATATTTATGGACTCCTTAGTTAGGTCATTAATTTTTGTCATAAGAAATGTCTTATAAATTCAAAGCTACTCGATATAGTTTTTGATAAAATGTGAGGTGAAAGTTTATGAATAAATATTAAATTTTTCATCTGTTTTGGGTTAAATTAATGACACATCCCTGAAGACAAGGTTCAAAAGGTTTTAGCACAGGAGATTCATCAATGGCAAAGTAGTTAAAGCCATAAAACATTAATAAATTAATCCATGTTATATTTCAGGCTACTGAATAAGCTGGCTGCCTTTCCCCCCCCCCATATGTCTAACATAAAAACAGATCTGTTTCTGTAAGAAAGACCTCCATTATGACATTCCTTCCTTTAAATGGATAGCTATCTACAAACTGCTGGAAATAAGAATTACATTTCTCTACCTGTATTTTTTGTGCATTTCCTCCCTAGTTTTTTTAATGATGATTTTAAAATTTTTTATTTATATACATAATTTTTACTTCCTCTTGGAATTCAGAAAAAAAAAAAAAAAAGGATTTTTGCTCTAATCATGTTTATACCGTTTCAAAATTTGTTATAATATTTAATGTTTATTTGTAGATTTAAATTATGTAGCTTAACAGGAAATTTAATTTCAAAAGATCATAGCAAAAAGAAAAATGGTAGGAAAATGAATAAGTTAATAAACTGCTGTGACTTTTTAACTATGTAATACAATAATATCAGTGTACCTATTGATTTAATATAGGACTTTCATTTTACTAAAAACTAAAAGATTTTTCCCTTAGGTTATTTCTTCAAAAATGATACATATGTAATAAGTTTACTCTCTCTGCTTTCAAGCAATAAAATTAGTAAAAGCAGAGGATGAGTTATGCAAGAAAAAACAGTAGTTAAAATTCATTTGCCAAACTGGCATGCGTATATAAAAGAAGCTAAATTTTTGTAATAACCCCCTAAGAATGGTAAAGATGAATTTAGGTAAAATTCAGTTTTAAAATGACAATGGCTACACAGAAAATAAAGTTTTAGCCCAGAAGGGATATGTATATTTTTTGCATAGTGAAAAAACAATGGTACATAGAGCCACCAAATTTTGAATAATGTAGTCCTCCACCCGAATGTGGGCACCTGGAAGCTCGAATTCTGATTTTTTTTTTTATTACCTATTTTATATTTTGCTAAACTTTAATGAAATTTTGATTAAGAAACTCAGGGATTTCAAAGTCAGCAACACTGTACAGAATAAAATATTTTTAGCATATGATACTGACTGCCTATCAAAAGTTCTAAAGATATGCTGTTTTTAAATAATATTTTGCTGTTGAATCGAATTTCGTGTGACCCAAGTGCCAAGAATGTGATATTTAATAGATAAAGTAAACACACAAAATATTAATAATAAAAAGACAAAAAAGTTTTGTAAAGCCATCTTGATAAGAAAACTAAACATTGATATGATGATTTTTCCACTCTGGCATAATCTGAGAAAAGATTGAAAAAAACAAAGATGTATACCAATACTTAACGCTGCATCGTTAATTCTAAACATACATTGCTATGCTAATAAAGATAAAAAGGCAAATACACACACACACACACAAAAAAAAAAGGGGGGGAAAGGAATTAGCAGGCTGGTGGACTGTGAGCTCAGCAAGAATGTAAAATACCTTAACAAACCCTTTTGGGCGACTGTTAAAATCTGAAACTTTTTAGATTTTTAGTGTAATATAAAATTGCTGTTAATCCAACTTTGAAGCTGCTTACATCTAAATGCAGCAATATATACAGAAAACTGACATTATAAAAACTAGCATTTAGTTGAAAATTCAGATCTCCTTTTTTTAAGTAATTATTTAACATATTTGTTGAATTTTGAGATTTACAAGAGTAGTACAACCATGAACTTGTTGATCTGAGCCAGATCTCTCAGAAATAAGCAAGAAAATTGAATCCAAAGTTAAGTGATGTACACTGCACAAAAAAAGGGGGAAACAGTTCTGCATCTCCCGTTCTACTGGGCCGATTGATGACATTCAACTTGCATTTTTCATGTCTCGAAAGCGTGACTTAGGATATGTATTAGATTTATATATAACATTGTTCGAATATGGGTATTTCGACACATCGGACTTTTTCTTAAATGACATGCTAATTGTTTTCCATATTTTGATTCTATGACTCAAATTAAGCCAAACTACAAAGTTTTGTAAAAATCACATGAGTAGTTTTTAAAAAATTAACTCTAAAAATTTTAGCTCCTCGATGTGAATTGAGTTTGGTATATATTCATTAATTTCTCTCTCTCTTTTTTTTTTTTTTTTTTTTTATTTTTTTTTTAATTTTTTTATTTATTTATTTATTTTTATTAAGCTTATTTGATTTTTCCTTTCCACATTTCGAAATTCAGGTTCATTCCCAAATAAAATTCATCCCATTTTTCATGATTTATTTTTTAAATTTGTATTTTTAAATCATTTTTATAAATTTTTCAAAAAAATTTTGAATTATCTATAAAATTTTTACCATCATCATAAAGTAGATAAATTTCTAAGCATAACTGCCAAAAACTACAGTTTTTTATTCAAAATTTCTGAAGATATACCTGAATTTATATATTGGCACATTTTGAAATTTGGCATATTTGTTAAAAGCGATAAAACATCAAATGTGGTTTAGACGCTTTGTTAAAATTATTTGAAAGTAGGAATGATGTGACTTTTTGTTCCGCTCATGCACAATGTAAAAAGGTGAGAACGAGGTGCCTTTTTTCCGCTCTGGCATAATGGAAGGGAAAGGAAATATGGGTTGCTACATGTTAAGAAGTTTTCCAAGTGAATTACTCTTGGCGCAAGGCTGAAAAAATCTCGCCAAGATAAATTTTTCAATTTCTCCGTAAATTTCAAACCAACTTTTACAGAATTTAATATAGGCATAATTTGAATTGTAGAATCGAAATATGGGGAAAAATGTGCATGTTATTTAAAAAAAAGTCCGATTTTGTGCCAAAATACCTATGTTAGAACAATGCTATATATAAATCTAATATATATCCTAAGTTGTGCTTTTGAGACCTTGCGACTGTTTGACGCAAGACATGATGCAAAAACGCAATTTGAATTTTGTCAATTGGCCCAGTAGGACGGGAGATATTGTTTTTATTTTTTCCCCCGCAGTGTACATATTATTTGAGTTCAATAAAGTGGGTAAGGCAATGCATAATGGTTAAATGCAAGTGTTGCAGATGAAGAGTTAGGATTTCTATTTCTGGCAAGACCGCGGAATTTTGAATCTATACAAATCATTAACTCAGTTTACAAACAAATATTTTAACTTAGTAATAAAAGTGCTGACAGCTGTTATATGGACTTTTAGATTATTATAAAATAAAAGATTTTATTTTTGTTTAAATTTTTTCCTTTTAAGGAAACAGAAAAATAAAAATAATATTTAATAGCTTTGCATTTAAATATATATTAGCGTTAATAAGTATTCAATTTATATTGTAAGGGCTTTAAAAATTCATCGACGAGAGCAACAGAAGAAAAACGTTGAAAGGAAAATGAAGGGGGAAAAGAAAGATACAGAAGTAAGTGATGATGAATTAGAAGATGATTTGAATTGGTACAGAAAGGAAGTTGGTGAAGATCCTGATGAAAGTAAGTATCACCTTCTCCATGCTATATAAATTTTTTCCAGTTCTTAATTTGCATAGATAAAAGGACAAATTGTTATATACACCTTGATAATACAAACAGCAGTTATCACATTGTACCATAAGTAGATCTAGCAAGCAAAAGTATACTGTACCTTCAATAGTGTGTTAAACATTTCCTCAAATTTTCACTTTTGGGATATCTGATTAGTTGATTTACATGGAAACCAGTTCTTTGGAGGAAACATATGGGGAACACAACTTGAAATGAAACATTTTAATTCCAGTTGTGAAATGTCCAACGTATCTACCCAGGACACAGGTTCCTCAGAAACTGTTTTGACTCTTATGGTTAAGGAGAAGCTTGTTTCTCCTAGCTCACATGTCGTTAGGTATGGGTCTTTGTAGGAAGACTTTTTTTTTATGATTATAAAAATAAGTTATGACAACACCTTTCTGTATCTTGTCACTCTTTCACTGCAAGACATTGAAAAATTAGGCTCTGCTTTGCATAAGTCATCAAAGATAAACTGTATAGGGCTAGAATTGTGTTGGTAAATGTCATTTCATAACAATCATACTCATGAAAAAAGCCTCTAGGACTATTAAGTTACATTTTTCTCCTTACCAATCATTTCTCTCTCGTCATAAATGTGTTCCCTTTAACACAGTAAGATCATTCCAGCAAGATAATTCATATTATTTCCACATGGTAACTAGGCTAGAGAAAGGTTTAAAAAAAAAAAAAAACTTAAGATGGTCTCATTACTTTTCATAATTTAGTTGAGAACTTATGGGATGACTAAAAAAAGATTAGTTTGAAAAGCTCACATGTTCCTCCTACAATGCAGATACTTTGGCAACATGCTGAACATCTCTGAGTCAATAGCAATACAGCTGGCTGCTACTGTTGGAACAAAAACCAGGTCTGCTTATTGGGTTGGTATATATAATATTTTGTCCTGTCATTTCAGATCTGTGATATTCTTCTACTACTACTACTACTTTTTTTTTTTTTTAATCTTCTAGATGTTTTACCTAGTATGAAAAAGAGGAAAGCTGTATTTGATAAGGGGAAAACAGCCAAAAAGGTGAAATTTTCAAATGAAACCATTGAAAAAGAAAAACAGAAAGGAGATAAACAGAGTGAAAAACCTAAAACTTTCCAGGAGTTTTTAAAGAGACGAAAAAAGAAAAAAGAAGCTAAAATTCTCAAACAAAAAGCAAAAAGAACTTCTCATGCAGTCTTGGCTATGAGAGCCAAACACAAAGTGGTTAACAAAAAGAAGAAAGTGTAAATATATGTGAATAAAAAACTTTTTATATGGTTTTTATTTTTTGATTTCTGTTGAATAGCATAAATTTGTAGTGTTAGTGTAGGAAGTATTTGTTTATTTCATATAAATTTAAAATTAGCATTCATGTAACAAAGCGTTTGCACACAAATATTTTTAAGGCTGTAACGTATTATAACGTATCCTAGAACCTTTTTTGAACTTTACCATTACATTTATTTTATTTGTAATTAAGATGTTGACTGAAAAATGTTAAAATTTCAGTTGTGATAAAATGATGCGTTTAAAATATCCTTATTCAGAATATTTCAAAGTTTCCTGTAGCTTATTACTATTTCAGAGTTGCCAACTCTCCCGATTTAGGCGGGAGACTCCCGATTTTCGACCGCTCTCCCGCCAACCCGATTTACAATATATTTCTCCCGACTTTTTCTTTCTTAATATTTCTCACGATTTTTATGGAACTTGGCTTAATACTTTGTTATATGAACAAAAAAAAAATGTGATTTTGGACGTCTGAAAGCTGAATTTTCTCTAGATTATATCTAAAATGAAACCTTGCGAATCAGATGAGAATTTCTGCTTTGTGATTGACAGCATACGTATCCAGAAACGTCGTTCTCCAGTTCTCCAATGGGCATCGAGCTCCACTGCGTGTCATCTGGCATATATTAGCCAATGAGCATAAAGCAAGCTCAAGGCAGTTGGCCGTTCTTTCGCTATTTCGTTCATTTTGTCCTGAGTTGTGTGAGTACACGTGCTTTTAGGAAATAGTTTTAGAAATTATCGTCTTTTGATATGTCTGCGAGAAAGGTGAAATACTCATGCACGTTTCAAAAATCGTACACAGTTGACTTTCCTTCCATTATTTCTTCAAGGAAGTGTAATAAATTTGCGATGGGTACCATCTGTCATTGCGATTTTTCGATTTCGCTTGGTGGGAAGGGCAGATGTTCTCAAACATATGCGTACACATAAACACAAGGACAACATGAGTTGTTTTGAAAAAACAAAAAATTAAATTTTTCTTCGGAAACAAAAGACCAAAAAGTGATTAATGCAGAATGTCTGTTCTCTGCCTTTTTACTGGAGCACAACCTGCCACTGAATGCATCGGATCACGCTGCAGCTTTATTTAGAAAAATGTTTCCCGATAGTGAAATCGCTAAGAAATACTCAAGTGCAAGGACCAAAACAGGTGCAATTTTTAAAGAAATGGATTTGAAAAATAAATCTTCAGTTATTGATTGCATTAAAACAGCTCTGTTCTGCCTCTCTACGGATGGAAGCAATAATACCAATTCAAAACTGTATCCAATTGTTGTTTCTTTTTTTAATCCAGAGTCTTCAGAAATTGAGTGCAGTTTACTTTCTGTCCCCACTTTAGAAGGACATTTGACAGGCTTTAATATATAGCACAGCTAATTATTAAAATTTAAAAGAAAATGCAGTCCCTCTCAATAATTGCTTAGCACTTGGTGCCGATAATGCACCAGTAATGGTAGGCTTGATGACTGGTGTTGCAGGCATTTTAAGAAAGGCAAATTCAGATTTGCAGATTATGAGGTGCACCTGTCACCTCTTAAATTTAGCAACTGAAAAAAGGGCAGCTTCTTTACCATTAAATGTGGATGAACACATTGTTGATATTTATTATTATCTTGAAAGGAGTTCTAAAAGAAAGGAAAAATTGAAACAGTTCCAACAGCTGCATAATACTGAAATGAGAAAAATTTTGAAACGTGTGTACACGCTGGTTGTCTTTAAAGAAATGTTTATCTAGAATCCTCGATCAATGGAACCCTCTTCTTGCATTTTTTAAAGAAGAAGTAAATGCTTCGAGAGTTAAGATAAAAGGCTCTATTGAAAGTTATAAGTACCTAAAGTAAATGAAGATGTAGTTACTACTTCCATTGTTAAAAATGGGTTTGAGAAAAATAAAGTAATTTCTGCATCATTCAGCAATTCAACTGGCAGTTCTCAAAATAATACTGCAAAATATAAGCGTAAAGCTGATACAAATTTCTCTCAAATAAAAAAAAAAATTGCTCAACACACGAAACATTTTCCGATTACTGTAAGTTTATCTTGTGAAGAACGAATATTTAAGCTTTTTGCTTTTTTTTACAATTCATTTTGCCAGCATTCGATGTTCTGAACACAATTCTACAAAGCAGAATTCCATTAATTCATGTTTTGCAATCAATGATTTATGATCTGTTTAAAGACATTTTATCAAAGTTTGTAAAACCAGTCTGTGTTTTGTCTTGTAATTCTATATATGATGTGATTTATGGTGAAACAGAAAATCGGAAGAAAGATGAAGATTTGGTAATAGGAGCTGCAACTACAAAAGTAGTGGAAGAACTTTCAGAAGAAAACAAAAGTAAGTTTTATCTTCATGTTAGAAGTTACTTCTGTCGAGTATGTGATTACACACTACATAAATTTCCAGCCAACGATGAAGTGATTTTGCATGCTAAAGTTGCTGATATTTCTGCTCTAGCAAATGCATCTTTTTCTGATATAAGGTACTTTTTGAACAGATTTCCTGTGTTACTTCGTTTAGTCATGAAAGATGATGATATTGATGTTGCTACTGATATACTTCAGTCACAATTTTGCAGTTTACAATTAGAAAACTTGGATGAAGTTATAAAATCAGCTAGGATTGACACCCAGTGGAGGTTAATTGGAAAATTGAAAGGTGCTGATGTAATTTTAAAATATAGTGAAGTCTAGAATTATGTTGGCCATCTTGACAGTTTCCCATAGTAATGCGGAGTGTGAGTGGAGAGATTTTCAGTGTTGTTGCGAAAACGAGAACTAAATTTAGATCTAATATTAGTGATGACACATTAGAAAAAAACTTTATTAGCGAAAGCAGGCCTACGTGGCAATTGCTATGAACAAATTATGAAGTTTCTTTCTTAATGAGAGCAAAATCTGCCACTGTCCATAACATTTGTATGAAAACTGATTAAAGTGCCTTTTTTTATTTATTTATTTTTTTTTTAACGATGAAAGTAATAAAAATGTCTAAGGTATTTTTGTTTTGCTTGCATTTAAGACTTAGTAACTATTTAAAGTTAATTCATTATTAAAAACTATATTTTTATCATTTAAAAAGTCTTTTTAACATTGTGAAAAATCTCCTGATTTCTTTAAAAAATCTCCTGATTTTTGAGTGTCATAGGTTGGCAAGTATGCTATATTTACTCAAAAACTAACCCTTACGTTTTAAGATAAATTTTAAGAAATAAAAATGAGTATTTGATAATCGCTAGGTTCTGATTAGAATGAAATGTTAACTATCTGAGTACAGTGGTCTATTTATTGTACAGAAAGAAAAATTAGAAAACTAACGATACATTATTACCTATGTGTTTTTTAGATATGGCTGTTATAATTAGCAGTAATTATGCTCTTGATATATATTGTAATTACCTGTGTAGCTTTTCAGTATTTAAATAACATAATTATTCTTTTTATATGATTAAGTGAAAGTTATCCTGCAAATCAAACTTTTTTTTTTTTTTTTTTTTTTTTTAAAGGTAGTGGGCTAATGAAAATTTCTAAAAATAATTTAAGAATTATAAATGAATACAGTCAAAAGTCTTTAATCCGGACTCGTCGGGACTTCGGCGATTACGGATTATCGGTTTTTCTGGATTATAGATCATCAATTTAAATCTGGTAAGATGGCATACAGAAATTATATCATTGCGTGCCGAGGTGTCCCCCCCCCTCTCCCCGCAGAGCAGCGTGAAATTGATAAACAGATTTCGGAATGGTTAGAGAAACAAATGATATATCCATTTTTTTGCAGAAATTCCACTTTTTGTTTGATGAACATCGAAACATGCTTTCACTTTGTATATCCTTTGGCAGCTCCAGAATCAGAAATTCTTTTTGACATAATTGAAAGTTCAAGCTTACTTTTATAAAACTGTTCTAACAGTCTGCAAAAAATAAGCCACCGGATCCAATTAGAAGATTAAGAACAACGCCGTTATACATTAAACGCAAACGTATTACGTGCATGCGTAAAGGTATTATGCGCATGCGTTAATGCATGCGCGGAAAGTTTGTAGCTTTGAGGTCCAGATTATAGATCATTCCGGATTATGGACGTCCTGATTAAAGACTTTTCACTGTATTACAAAGAACTTTAAAATTAACAAACTGTGGGAAAAATAAAGATAAGGCTATTTTAAACTCATTAACTGTTTCTTTTTTGTAAGCAGGTTGGTCCAAAAAGCGTAATTTTTTTTCAGTGCCCTCAACTTTTGAAATATAAGCATTTAGAGCAACTTTTATGAGGAAACTTCTACAAATTTTATTACTTAAAATTAACATGTTGTTCAGAACCATATGCCTAAAAAAATAATAATTATAAAAAATATTTTTTATATTCATATTATAATTTCATTTTTTACATTAGTACAGCATGAAATTTAATCTCCATGAAATTGGGGTTGGGAGAATACTAAAACAGTAATGCTTCAGTGAACTGCTTTATATCTCTTGATAAAATTATGAACTAATGAGAAACAAAAATATGGGCAAAGTGTTAACAGGGCATGTAAACTTTTCTCACCTGTATGTTGTGTGGGTAAATCAAGTGAGGTTCAGAAGTGGTGTATGTATGGAATAAAACTATCTTTAGGTTATAATCTTTACCAATTTAAAATTACATTAAAAACATAAATAAATAGCAAATTTATTCAGTTTCTAAATGGTATTCGGATAATATGCAACTTCACAACTAAACTTCAATTTACTGTTAGTTAAAAAAAATTTTTTACTATGCAAATACATTCTATAATATGAAAGGGAAAGCACCAAAGGAGTTATCTAAATGGGGTTAAATTATGTATCCTGACACCCTAGGTAGCCGGTGACTAAATAGCTGAAGCTCCAGTGCATTGCAATAGAGCATCCAGATGGTGTATAAAACAAAGGACACTGCAATAACTTTCATGTAAACGTGGTTTCGTTGACCCACGTGTCCCAATGCCTCACATGAAATTGTTTGCATACAGTATGAGCAGATGTCATTATTTGACAGAGGATGTGCAACTGGATTAAAGGAAGTCAGGTGGTCAAATTGCAGGATCACTAGACATTTGGATTGGAGTGAAGCGACCATTCAATGATGATGGCAGGAATGGGTAAACTATAGTTGTACAGAGCATCAATAGAAGGTAGCATTAGACAAAGTGATGTTGGTGCTGACAGCCCTGATTCATCCTTATTAAGAAATCTGATGTGTAAATGGGCCACAAGTGACTTTAATGATCATTAATAAATGATTCAACTAACCAAGGGCTGAGGTAATGGAGGCCATTGCACTGGCAAACCCTCGCCTTTGCATACGATTTGTCATGTTTGCAGTGGTGCCAAGCATTTTCGACCTGGGATCTTACGGACTAGAAAATTGTTTTACGCAATGAGTCCTGTTTCGAACTAAGCTCTATGACTAGCAAAGAGGTATCTGTACTCACCCAACTATCATCTGCCACACGGCCTGATAACCAGGAGGAGGAACCAGGTATGGGATGACATTTCATTTAACAGCTTGATCCCTTAAATTGTCATCTATAACATCCTTTACTAAGGCAGTACATCGATGAGTTTCTATGAACCCTTTAAGAAAGACACAGAAACACAAAATTTAAATTTTCCTAGTTGGCTAACCTACTCCTATTCAAATCAAGACATTGCGTTGTGTTTGATGTTTACTGGATTAACCCCTAATTCAAATTTTAGGTGAGCTGGTGAATGACATGAACAAATCAAATAAAACATACACTTAAATATTTCAATGAAAAGAAGTTGGTTTATTTAGAAATGAACATCTATTAATTCAAATAATTATAAATGTGATAAAATCAAATAAAAAAATAAAAAATAGATATTCCCGGGAAAAATTTAAAAAATAAATAAATAAATAAAAAAGAACCCATCATAGGATGTATATTTCACATTCCATTTCTATTAAGTTTAACATTTTATCACCGAAATCTATAATCTATTCTTATTTCACTTTCTTAATCCTAAAGTCGAATTATCATCATACAGGTTATTTGATAACTTTTGTAAAACAAATTAGTTTTCAACATATTGCACATAATACATCAATAAAAGGAAAACAATTTTTAACGAAATTCCTAGCTAGGAGACTTCACTAATAATTAATTTTAACAAAATATTATAGTTCATGGAGTTACATGAAACAACAAAGAAAGAAAAATCACCCTAACATTTTTAACTTTTTAGCATTAAAACAAATTGGGTAGTTATTAAGATTTGGGATTAAGAAACTATTCAGTTTTGGATCCACCTACAGCTCTATTATCATAGCAACCATTTGGTTTATAAGCCTCTTCAAAAAGGAAATTACATTAATACTTCCTACATAATAATTTTCTTAAGCCTTTTCAGAAAGGAAATTACATTAATACTTCATGCATGATAATTTTCTTAAGCCTTTTCAGAAAGGAAATTGCATTAATACTTCGTACATGATAATTTTCTGAACGCGTACAAGAGTTGAGAACCAAACTAATGTGACTAAATTTGCATTAATACTTCGTACATGATAATTTTCTGAACGCGTACAAGAGTTGAGAACCAAACTAATGTGACTAAATTTCTATGGAAATCAAATTATTCAGAAGAAAATTAAGATGAGAATTAATTAAGATTTAACAAACTAGAATTTTCATAAAGGTGAACTTAGCTGATTACTTGAGATGAAGCCTGGGGCATCCTGAAACTGGATCATCGTTAAGCCAGGAGCAGAAACAACCAGACCAAATCCTGATGACAAGAACCGAAAGTTCTAGAGTTACGCTTAAATGACATGCAGCCTCAATGATAACTTCGATGACCAGTATCTTTCAGGACATCTTCGATGACAAGTGACTTCAAAACAACTTCGATGACAAGTATCCGGCATGGTTCTACCTCAACTATTGAAGACGTTCAGATAATTGAGAGAGAACTCTTAGGAGTACAATCGGAATTTAGAAGACATTTAACCGTAAGTCGGCCCATAGTAGCTGTACGTTGATCGAAAAGTGAATCTGCAGCCAGTAGATGAATTCACTATGCAGGGACCTACTATCGACTATTATTTGAGTGGTCGAGAAGTTTAAAATTTAATGTCCGTGAAGAACTGCAATGCCACTGGGACGAACTGCCTCGTAGATTCGGCGGGAAGAACCACTGCCATTTCGTAAGTCAATCTGAGCGTGCAAAAGTATGCGACAAAAATTGAGCAGCAACCGTAGAGTAACGAACAAAGTGAAAAGTGACCTTCGCCCTTAAAACAACCCCTTTTAGATATGACGGGACAGCCAGCTTGGCTAAACCCCTGCCTGAAAAGCTGAAAAAAAAAAACAGTTGCCAAAACCTCACGCCTTAAGGAATGCAAAATTTCTACTTTTTTCCGATAGTTTAACTAAACCAGAACTTCATTATCATGCCAAAACAACGCCAAGCCTGTACAGGTACAGTGACCCCGAATGGCAAACCTGACAGGAAGTGGCTTTTCAAGTCCAAAAGAGCGTACATTTTTTTGTTGAAAGTGAACTTTTGTAACTCTTCTTCTCCCCTTTTTGTTAGAGAAAAAATTTAGGAAGTTTTCGTTAATTAAAAGGCTATAACTTAAAATTGATTAAAGCTAGGATTATGAAAGTAGTCTCAAAGTGCTAATTTTTTTGTGTCTAATGATATCAAACTCAAAAGGTTTAAGTTAGTTCTTGTCATGAAAAACTGAGTTTATTACTTGGAAATTCACCTATATCCATTGTCTGAGTGAAAAGGCGAGTACGACAAGTTTGAAAACGAAGTGGACAAAGAGAACGACGCTGACTAATCTTTTCGTGTAAATTCAGATAAACTAAATTGATCAAAATATACCAATAACTTAATAAAACCAAAACATGCTGTGTAGCTTAAAATTTAGAATATCAACACATTAAAATTTTGATTTCTGTGATTAAATTAATTACGTTAAATTTGCTACACAACACCATATACGTAGCGTATTCGGAAACTAAGTACCGTTTCATTCTAGTGTTGTGGTAGGTGTCCCGCGCATGTGCACTAGTCTTTCTTGTTCACTGACTTTCAATTGTCGCCATTTTGGTTGCTCTATGTTGTGTTTTCAGTTTGCTGTGCACATTCAAAATGTTTAAGACAATTAGTTCTCCTGCTGACTGTGAATTTCATGCCGTGATTAAATTTTTGAACGCGAGGAATGTTAAACCGGCCGAAATTTATCGTCAAGTGACAGAAGTTTACGGTGAATACGCGATAAGTGATGGAATGGTGAGAAAGTGGGTAAGAATGTTTAATGCAGGTCAAACAAATGTCCACGCCGAGGCTCAGAGTGGTCGGCCTTCTGTTGTCACCGATGATTTGGTAAGGAAAGTTGATGAAGCAATTCATGAGAACAGACGCTTCACAACGACAACTCTTTCAGAGGCATTTCCACAAATTTCACGTACTGTTTTGTTCGAAATTGTGTCTGACCGCTTGAATTATCCCAAACTGTGTTCCCGATGGGTTCCAAAAATGCTCACTGATGTTCACAAAACAAAGTGACTTGGTAGTGCCCTGACATTTCTCACGCGGTACAGCGATGAGGGAGGAAACTTTTTAAACCAAATTGTGACAGGTGATGAAACTTGGGTGTGTCATTTCCCACCAGAATCAAAACAACAATCGATGGAGTGGAGACACACTCATTCTCCGAAAAAACAAAAGTTCAAAGTAACAATTGTCATCACAAAAAATCATGTGCATGTCTTCTGGGATAGGAAAGGCATTTTTTACTGAATTTCCTTCCAGAGGTGAAACCATTAATGCGGCACGATATTGTGAGACTTTAACAAAACTAAGGCGTGCAATTCAAAACAAATGAAGAGGAATGCTCAGTAAAGGAATTGTGTTGCTCCATGACAATGCTCGGCCCCATACTGCTGGTGTCACTCAATTGTTAATTTGACAGTTTCATTGGGACCAGTTCGATCACCTGCCGTACAGCCTGGACTTGGCGCTATCCGACTATCACATGTTCCTACACATGAAGCGCGAGCTTGGTGGCAACCGCTTTGGATCTGACGATGACTCGAAAAATGCTGTGGAGTCGTGGTTATTGAAACTGGCGGGAAGTTTCTTTGACGATGCTATACAAAAACTGGTCACCCGCTATGACAAGTGTTTGATCATTGGCAGAAACTATGTTGAAAAATAGTTTAAGACATGTATTTTCTTGTAAAAATAAAATTGGGATTCGAAAAAATTGTTTTACTATTTTTTTTTTTTCAAAACGGTACTTAGTTTCCGAATACGCCTCGTATTTTATCAAGAGAATGGCCATCCACAGGACACAATTTATGCTGTGGACCTGCTTATCTTTATGCTTTTCCAACACATCCCATGATCACCAAATCTTCGTCAATATGGCCTGTTTGGGCTCTGATAAGCAGACATCTCCAACCATCCTCGGCATCCAACTGGCATTCTAACTCGTCAATTAGAATGTGTATGGCGAACAATTTTGCAGGACATTTGCCAACGTGTTGATTTTTTTCCCCCTCTTATAGTTGTATTTCCTGAATTAAATATTCAATTCATATGAAACTGTTAGCATTTTGTTTTCGATACATGTAAATCATATCTACCGATTTTTGTCCCTTTCAGACAAAACCTCCTTCTTGGTGCATCACTTTTTATGCTATAGAGTGTGTAAGATTTTTGCTTCTTTCATCCTGGCAATATATCATTATGATGTTCTGAGAAAATCATTACAAAATGAAGTTAAATAACTACAATTTGCAAATATATATATTTATTTAACTTTTAATATATCAGAATCTACTTTTAATATTTCTTTACTTAGGTTTATTTGTTCTATTCTGTATTTTATTAAGGTCAAGTAGTAACTTTAATGCCTCTAATTCCTGATTTAGTTGGGAGATTTCATTCTGAAGATTTTTATATTCCTAGAAAAGAAAAAAGAATGTCATACAATTTCCAGAGATAATAAAATTAAAAAGAATTAACTACATATATTGATATAAAAAATATATATATATACTTTGACACAACTGTGCTTTTAATAAAAGTATATAAATCTATTGACAGAGCTACTGTAGTATTTTATTCCTGTTTTGTATAAAATAAAGAATGAATTTCTTCCTTATAAGAGAGATATTTTTATTAAGATTTTAACTGCAATGCTTAAAATTACAACTACAAAATTACCATTTGAAATTACAAGTACACATATGTATTGTGTGCATAACGGGCATGTTTTGTCTTTTCTTGGTTATTAGGGTGTATATCTACCTGTGTATATCTACTCTTTAAATCAAGCATCGAAAATCATTTACTTCCACAAAAAGTGTCTAGAATATTGTCAGTTCTAGGAAAAGGGTAGCTATCTTTCTTTGTAGCCTCGTTCAGCTGGTGATAGTCAATGTAAAATCTAGTTGAACCATCTTTCTTTCTGACCAGGACAATGCGAGAGGCCGAGGGACTTCCTGAATGCTCAATAATGATGCTTTCTTGCATGGCCTGTAGAAGTTTTCCTACCTCTTCCTGTTTAGCAATCAATTGGTAGACATTTTGAATGTTGCTTGATTGGTGGATAACCTCCAGTATCGATTCTTAGCTGTGTTAAACTGGTTCGGCCCCGAACTTAAAAGAGAAAGGCCAACTCATAGAGCCTTTGCCCCTGAAACAGGAAGTGAGGTGTGATGACATAGTCATGTTGTAGGCTCAGGTGCGGTGCACGTTGTATCAGGCTCCTGGGCTAATAAGCCTCATCCTGTGCATAATGCCGTAAGGAGTGACATGACTTCCCCAACATAACATGGTGTAGTCATGTTGAAGCGAGAGACGTATTCATGTTGATACTGACTGCAAAGACATAATTTGCAGCAAAGAAATAAACATTTTAAATTTTGGAAAAAAAAGAAAAAAAAAAAAGAAAAAAAAAAAAGCCTATCAATCAAAACTGGGATAGAGCTTAGGCAGAGAACTCTCGTGCACTTTGCTTAAATAATCCAATCCTAAAAGAGATAAGTTTCGTATACTTTCCAATGTCATATACACGGCTACCAAATCAGTTAAGGACTAAAAATTTATAACACTGTGTAATATTCCTATGCACTGTAACACGTCTGTAAAAGTCCTTATGCAGCCTTTATTATTTGCAGCCGATGATTGTTGAGAAATACTTACACAGACCTATATAATTATAGAAATGTTTGAAATGATGCACATATTCATGTTATTGTATTTTTAAATTTTAAAAAATAAATTTTATAAAAATTAAGAACTCTGTCTTTTATGATCGCTCATGTACAAGACTTAGAAGAGAAGGACTAGTTCATAGACCCCTTACTCCTGAAACAGGAATTGAGGAGAGATGACATAATCATGTTCACACTGATTGCAAAGATGCAATTCCCAGCAAAGAAATAAATATTGTAAATTCGGGGGGGGGACAGCAGCCTTAAAAACTGTGCATGAAAAAATTTCTTTAATGCAGAAGAGAAGGTGTTATTACTGTATACATTTATAGCATTTAAAAAGTTAATAATACTTATTTATTAATTTTAAAATAATAGATAAAATATGCTACATTTTCCTAAAAGTTACAGGTTTTTTGCCCTGTGAATCTATTATTAAATCATGAAGAAAAAAAAAAACTATGGCATTCATTATCTTTTCTTCATCTGCATACTGAATGGGAGAATTCTATCACTCTTTCTAAGATAACTATAATAACAGCTTTTCAAAGTTAGGAGGAAAACCCTTAGTTGGTGTATGTTTTAAATATATATTTTATTTTTTCCCTGCAGGAAAGAAAAGGGAACTTACGTTTGATTGTTTCATTGAAATTAATCTAATCAAAATTGCTTTTTTTTTCACCTAATTAGAAATTTTACTTGGCGTATTTCTCTTTCCTTTGATATATAGATTACTTAATCTTCAAAAAGAGAGACTGGCAGTATGGATTAACGTTTCTTTTGTGGCAGTCATCTTCACAATTTTTGCATAGAAAATTCACAGAAATCTTGTGCTTTTCTTTAAAAGAATACTCCCTTGACACATGATCCTGTTTTCACCAAAGCAATTTGACCTTTTGGAGATTTCCAAAGGCAATTATTCATGCAAGAAGCCATATTACACAATAATGCGAACCATATAAAAAAAAAAAAAAAAAAAAAAGTGGAATTTTTTACAACCAGCATTTGTAAATTAAATAAAAACTTTTACTATTTATGAAAACATATAACACAAAGAACACAAAGAATGATTATATTTTGCCTTAAATCTAAAGTTGGTATCTGCAAGAGTTTTCTAGGGCACAATTTGAAATTGAAATACAGTTAAATTTTAAATTTGACAGTAAATATTAAAATTTCAGATAGTGTTTATCAAATAATATATTTGAACTTTAAGTAACTTATTTTAATTTAAACTTATAAAAAGCTATAAAAGTCTAAGAGGGATAATGAAAACTATTCTCTTTCTTTTATTTATTAGATTTTTCTATGATGCAAAACAGAAAAAATAATACTTGTATGTAAATATCTTTGTTTTTTACTATACCTTTCAGCTACACCACCTCATGGCATTTCGATTTTCATGAAGTTTGTAATCTTGAAGGGAAATTACTAAAATGTATTATCACAAATTGTAGATACTTATCGGCAGTTTGATTCTTTTTGTAGACTTACCAATTTTCAACTACTCCCCCCCCCAAAAAAAACTGTTCTCATGTAAATTGTACTCAAAAACAAAGCAAGTATTCTTACTGCAAAAACTCGTAACTCAAGATAGTTATCTTTTGACAAGTACTAATAAAAGTTAATCAAATTTGTATCTTAAAATCTTTGAACAAGATTTATATCACAGTACAAATTAATTAGCTGTATTTCTAGATTTTTCTGAAGAGTTGCATTCGTTTTTGGTGATAAATATAACATAAAACTGGACTCCAAACCATTAAAATCTTAAACTTTTTCTTCAAATTTTTGTCACACAGTAATGCAAATTAATTTATGGGAAATATATTCGCAGGCAGCATAAAATTACTTCAAGGCCGATTTGACACCACTATAAATAATTATATATGATTAAAATTAATTTGGGGTGTCCTAGCTTTAATCAGGCGAAGTCAGAGCAGATACAACATAGTGACATCAGACTGCTTCATGTTAATCCCCCTTATGAGGATGGTGTGACGATGACTCTCACAAAGGCATGATCTAGCCCTTCTTTTTAACTCTGGGTTCGACCCATGTTAGATGACAAGCGGGAGGAAAAATCTTGAATGACATGTTTGGCAGCACTCCTCTCTTCATCACTTAGTTATACATTCTGCAATAACTCCAGTGTAATGCTCTCTGAAACCACAGATTCTAGAGGGTTACTATTTTGTTTAGCATTGATCAGTGGAGTACATGCTGCCATCATTTCACCTTTTTTAATGATTTTCGATTTATTATTGATGTTGGCAACTCTCCACTGGGATAACTATCTTCAATAAGCCGAGGCTACTAGTACTCCTTGCAGGGTGCTACAGTTCTTGGGATTTTCCAATACACCATACTGGAAATTTCAGTTTTTGGTTATGGATCAAGGAAGTAACAATTATGTTTTTGCTTGTACTGTGATATTGTCTTGAGCTATGATTGGATGGACAGATTTAACCCCTTCATCATTAAGTCTGATTAAGGTTATGTCCTCAGAGGCAGAATGCAGTTTGTTATTTTTAAAGTCCAAAGAAAAATTGTATTTCCTTAGAAAATCCAATCTGAGTATGCAAGGATCTGTAATATCTGCCTCATGTGCCATGTGATGGTAAGGGGAGTTCCAAATGTGATATAAACATTTGATTTTCTGTTGATGTCGATCTTCTTTCACAGAACTCCACTCCATGACATGACCACTAATTTGTTTCTTGCGTCCTTGCTTGGGAGCAGTGTTTTTTTCTGTGCTTATACGAAGCACATTTTTATTACGATTTTAACTGCATGAATGTTTAAAATTATAATTGTACAAAATTACCCTTTGAAATACAAGTATATATATATATATTGTTGCGTGCATATGAGGTCATAATAGATTGAATGCACGCAGGTCCAATGATAGGTTGATAAAATTTATTTTATCAAAAGAAACACTTCAGAGTTCTGGAACTTTCCACAGAAATACTTATATAGGTGTTCCCAGTACCACAATGTACAATCAGTAGTTACACTTCAAACCTGTAAGAATGTTGAACAAAATGCAAGCAAAGCTCTTCTAAAAGGCATAGCTTCCAATACTCTTAAGTCACTCTGAACTGACATCTCACAATAATAATTACTCAGGGCAGATACTCTTTCTGGCCTTATATAGTTTTCACCTGGCTGCCAAGATATTTCTAATTTTTTCTGCTTCTTGAAATTACTGGAAGGCATACGAGGACTAAATACAGTTACAGAAAACATTGATTATGATTATTCAATTTACCTATTATGGCAATATAGTGACCAGGTCAAAATGTTGCCAAGTTTGCCTGTTAGGGATTTCTTGCCAAATCTGGTGACATAAATTAGTTGTCAAAAACCTTAGCTCTCACCAAATTAGCCATTTACTGAGTGTTAAATAGACTTGCCCGTGCATTCTTACTTTTCTGGCAAGCTTCACTCAATTAAATTTTCATGTTACATTATGCAAAGGAAATACAGCAATCTCACATATAACTTTTTAACAACGTTATCTATCTATGTACAAAATTTGTAACAGTATAACTCTTGGAGCGTTGCACACTGTCCCCATTTCCCTTTTAATATTTTGCATTGCTCAAGTATTCTAAAATCGATTCCTGTTAAAATATACACACATTTATCTAAAATTTAAATGTGTATAATTACTTGTATCTTACCTTATTACAGGACAGCAAATCAGAGAATGTATTTCCAGCACTAAAAGTTGTTTCTGTAGTTGCAACATCTGGTGGTTTTGCAGTTCTTGTTTCAGCTAAACCAGCTGATTGAAACAACTTCTGTAAACCTGCCTGATAGCCCTTAATTGAGACAGTACATAAACAGCTTTACTGATTTTACACTATAAAAAATTTCTTCAACATGCATTAGTAAGGAAATAGATCAGCTGAACAAATACATACAGTGCAGGTCATGGATAACACAGATTACCCAAACTTAAGTTTTCATGCATATTGTACGTGTTTTTCTTTTCTTAAAAAAATCAGTAATTTTACTTTGTTTCTGAGAATGTTTAAATGTGTTGCTGCTGAATGGCTTGTTTTACATAGATACTCCAATTTTTATTATAAATTTTTTTAACTGTTTTACAAAGTACTTGGTGTTTTAGTTTTTTCTGTATTTTACAATTTTTATTGAAGATTATGAGTTTTCATGTATTTTTGCCTTGCTGCAAAGTGAGAACTGAATTGATTGAATTAGAAATATATCCCTAATGAAATTGAGGAAATAAAATTTAAATGAAGTGCAGCAAAAAAATATGTATAATTTAATAGACCGTAAAAGGTAGTCATGTGGTGTTCACATCAGATATTTTACGTAATAAATTTAAATATGTGCTTTATAAACTGACTTCTTTCCTTTTCTTCTCATGATTATACAAAGTGTTTAAAAATGTGTCGGTAGCTTAAATTTTTTTACCTATTGATTCTAGACATGCATTTATAATGTTTCTCAAAATAATTTAGAAAATTTTATGAAATCATTTTTATGGGAGGGTTCTGTGAATACAGCATTTAAATTTTTATTTGCTTGCCATACAACAGAAAATCCAATTAGTAAAATGTTCTTTATATTGTATTATGTTAAATACAAAGAGTTCTATATATTTACTTGCAGAATTCATGGGAATTTGGTAAATAATAGTTTTGTGGGGCAGCTAGTTAATAATGAGTGCTAACCTAATACTGAACCATTACTCACTAACAAGCAACTTCCATTTTGTAGTTTCTTTCTATACTGGTTGAGATCTAATCAAAAATCGCTTAATAATAAATGCTAAAAGGTGATCTAAGTCAATATATTCATTCTCAAATATCACTCTGAATTTAACAAGCAAAGGTGTGGATTTTTTTTATTTTTTATTTTTTTTTTTAAATTTTTTTTGTATTAATTAAACAAATAATGGAAAGTTTTCTAACTGGACATTTTTTACGCTATGAGTATCATTTATGAAGTAAATTTTATATTTACCCCCTTCACTGTATAACTGTTTCATAAAATTCTGTGTTATGTTTTGAGAAATTGTGTAATTAAAACTACATGCTTAGGCCACAACCAGCTGTGAAACCAAGTGATTTACTGCCATCAAAGGGTTGATATTTAAGAAAGTAAAGCCTATAGCCACTTTTTTTGAACTCATATAAAGTAGATATACAGTACAATAGTATTTTCATTTAACAAACTTGTCATATTTTTCAGACTGAGTTTGGAAGGAAATTTAATAGGGATACAATCACATGCTGTTAAAATTTTGTTTCTTATGAATGTGAATGAACATATAAATTAAATAGGATTACAGAAAAAATTTCAATGTATAAAAGTCATTACCACATATTTTATATGACTTTTGACTCCTTATTTTATATCTACACAAAATTCAAACTTACTAAGGCATCAAATGATAAATCATTACAATAAGTTGAACTTGATAGCCTCTTTAAGCAAATCAGTTCAAAAGATTATGCATGCCTTCGTGGAATTTTATACTGCAAGAAAATGAAAAGTAAATAAAGTCTAGCATTCAGATATTTCATTGAGATGTGAATTTAGTGTTAAAAATATATATAAAGCTGCACACTTAACAGAGAGATTAACCTAATATAATTGCTAGCGAATGGTTTGGCTGCATGGGGTTTTCATCATATTCCTCCCACAAAATGTAAATATGAGTCTGCTTTCCTCAAAAAAAAAAAAAAAATTCCATAAAGTCTCATATTTTACTATTCATTTCTACTATGAAAAAATATTTCTTGGTAGAAATGAAAGAAATTATCTATATTTGAATCTCACAACTAAAATTAAGATATTGAAAATTATATGAAATAAATTCCGATTTTTAGTTTTGATAACGGGTGAAACAATATCATTGAATTTAGATGTTTTAAAGACTGAGTGTGGCAAAGCAAACGAGAACTGCATAAGGAGAGAGAGGCTTAAGTATTTTGGGAAAAAAGCTTCTAATGTAGCATTTAAAAATCCAAATGATATAAATCTCCAGATATTCCATCAGAAATAACTGATTTTAGAAACTAAGCTATTTCAATAATTCTGGTTGCTAAAACAAAATGTAGTCTTCTGTAGATTATTCAAGAACACAGTTTAATTTAATCATATCTGAATATGGAAACTGAATTTAAAATGTTTTTAACATTGACAGTTTCTATTGTTAAGCTGAAAGAAGCTTCAGAAAACTTAAAATAATGATAATTTTTAAAAATGCTAAATTTTCTTTTGACCCAAAAATGTTTCATATATTACTATTTTCTCTATAGAACATAAATAATCAAATAGATTTTGGAAATGAATCAAGAAGATTTTGAAAAGCAAGAAAAATTAAATTTAAAAAAAAGTGCTTGAACATTAATGTGATATTTTTTATGCTATTTCAGTGTTATTAGCTTTCGTGGAATACTTCTTAATGTTTTCATTCAAAAATTTAAAATTATCATAAGTATTAATTTTATCAATACATAAATTTATAACTATAAATTTTATGATATGATTTAGTATAGCTAACTTTCTTGAATGTAGAAGTATAAGAGACTAATTTGATTTTATGTAAGGATGCATTTTGCGTCTGTGCCTCTGACAAAATACCTAGGCATGGCTCTTGTGAAAATTCTATAAAACTTTACCATATCAATAGTTTTATAGAATTTTCACAAGATGACATCAATATTTTTTTTATTCCGATATCAAAGCAATACTGAAAATTTCTTGGGTGTTACTTGTGCCCAGTAGATAAAGAATAACGAAATAAAACACACAGCAAAATTTCATGCTTGGATGAATATGTAAATGTATAATTTAAAGCTAAATTATGTATTCACTAATACATTAAAAAGTTGTATTAGTTACATGTGTATAGAAGTTCAGATTCCATATATGAGAGGCACTAGTGATGCAGTAAAATCATAAAGCACTAATGACTCATGCTGAGTTTTATTCCCAGTTGACTAAAAGAGTTTCTGTGGTTTCCTCATGTGCAGTATGAATAAGGACTATTTTTGTATCAAAATTTTTCTATCAGTTCCAATTTAAAGGATTGCTCTATAAGGCACAAAGCTTAAATAAGCTCAGTTGCAATTAAATAACCTATTCTCTATATGATAAATAGGCATCCCTTTCATAAATATATTTCATATTACACACATATATATATACATAATTTAAAATAAAGTAGTTAAGTTCAAATAAGCCTGCACTAATCATGCTCTCAAACCTGCACTAATTTAGTGGTGGAATGTATATCAGGACTCTGACTATTGCTTGAATAATGTGATAGACAGCATGAGAATTTTCAACCGTTTATAAATAGTATTGTGCAGCATTATTTATGGTGTAAAATTAGTCAAATGGTTAGCACTTTTAATATTCTGATACAAGTATTAGCAATGGAGGTGACACAAGAGTCCTAATAAAAAACTGGGTTTTATCATTACATTGACAAGCACTTTGTATGGGAGTTATTTATTCTGAAAGAGAGAAAAAAAATCAGGAGCAACTACTCAGAAATGCAAGATATCAAACAAAGTGAGGTTAATTGTCATGGTTCTTGAGTACAATGTAACATAAAGTGCATAAATTCACTAATATATGTGCATCAAATTCCAGATGTGAGTTAATAAGGGAACTCTCAAGTCACTACTGGCATTTAGGCCAAAGAAACAACTATTCCAGTTTTAAATCCAGTATATAATTCCATCACCACCTCAAATACCTCCTATATTTCAGACATAAACCTCATTTGTGTGTCACATATGTTAGCACTGGTACCTGCGAGTCCAGTACTGTTATTGTCTACTCATGGTGGTTGCATCAGCTTTGCTTAGAGTGCTGCCTTCTCTCACAATCTTATTATGCCATAGACAGATGTATGTATATGATGTGCATTTTTATAATGTGATATGCACTTTTTATTGGTGACAGAATATCTTAAACCTTACAGATACATATGTTTGCCAATCTTTGGCTGCAAATATTGCAGGAGTGCATGCCACTGTGTATACCCTTTTAGGTTGCAGGTGATTGTGAAATGCAACACTTTGCATGTGATTTTATTCCTGAAAGTTTCATGACAATTTCTTTAGGAAAGCCTAAAAGCTTTCCTTGTAAGAGGCTGCAGATTATTAATCAAAATAGCAAATAAATAATATTGATAAAAAGTCCCCATACTTTTTCTGTTATAAAGCCATAATGTAAATCAGTTATTAGTTGATCCCATTTATGTCTTGATTCTGGATCCAACCTTGGATAAACTAGCAAAGCATCACTATTGCAAACATACTTTGACTTAAATATTGCTACATACTGACACCTTTCTGGTTCTGTCACATTTGATAATTCTTCTTTAAATCCACACTCTAAAAGAACCTGAAAATGATATTGAACATAGTAATATCATTGTAATTTTATAAAATAAAAATATAATCAAGTTAAGTATGTTTAGAAGAATAATGAGGATTCCTCATTTCCCTAAATTTTCAAAAATAATTCTCAATTATATTTGTTGATTTAACAAGACTATAGCTATCTACTCAAATTGGTTTAAACTCAGTTGGACATTGAAACATACAAATTAAGTTCATCAATAATGTGATAATGTACTCTATATCACCAATTTATTGGAACATAATCTTATTTAGATGTAAACGTAATGCTATTATTTACATCAGATGTTTCCAGTATTATACTTCATACACACCTGGAAATATGTATGCAACTGATGCATCCCTTTTGCAATTAAATAAATCTATAGTCATAAAAATTCACTTAAATTCTACTAATAATTATATACATTTAACCCTCTGACTGGCAAGAATATTTTTGATGATGTTTGTAAGAACCTCTACCTACAAGCATCTTAAAATATGTCCAAGAAATTAAGGCAATATGTTAAAATCCAGGTATAAAATACCAGGGGTATTTTGACATTAAAATCAACAAAATAATTCTTTCTTGTGGTAGTTCTGAGAAATTTGTGCTTCTTTAGTGAAACCCTGGGCCGGTCAGAGGGTTCATGCATAGATAAATACAAGATACGCCATAAAACATTTTAGCAAATGTTATAGAATTATAAACATTTTTCGAGTTAATGGATGTGAGACAGCTCTGCTTGTTGTGCACAGTTCATGAATGGCTGGAGTTATTTCACTAAGGCTGAGTCACAACTCACCAATGTTCATTTCATTTTCATGTAATTTTATTAAAGAGTTAAAGATGAAAAAGCAGTCTTAAAATTAACCAGTAGGCAGTGTTGTTAATTTAGTAATTTTGTTACTACACTTACCGGTTTCTGAATTATTTTACAGTACTAGATATAAAATATCATCATACACCCTGTTTTGAAAACTGATGATTTATATTATATAACTGTGAGTTTATTACTATTACACTTTTAAATATTTTTTGAGAAATAGCATTAAAAAATTATCAGTGCTTGTCAAAATGGTCTCTGGAAACAAGATTTCTTAAAAAATTCTTTTTTGGTCATATTTGCATACACTTTTGAAAAAGAAAAAAAGTTTTTATGAAACTTTATTCTAATATTTATCTTTTTCCTACAAGTTTAAAACTATGGATATGCTAATTTTACTTTAAATGCTTGTAGAGATCTGTTTTTGGATCAGAAGTCATGAAAAATGAACAATGCCATCACCAGCCTTTTTGAATTATGGATCTTCAATTACTAGCCAGATGTACTTCTAATTATGCCATGAAGACCCATAGTATGGATGGAAAAAATTCACTTCATTCTCCACCATTTAAAAGGACAACAAATTGAGGAAAGGAGCTCATCGCCAAATACATGTGGTAGTGAGTTTTAATCCACCAATTGTAAAGCAATTCAGAATTTTTTTGAAGCCAGGAAACAATCAATCAGCGATGACCTCACTGGAATTCAAACTTCAGACATTCAGATTGCATATGTGCTTCCAATTACACCATGAAACCACATCCTTAGAAGGGAGAAAATTGCTCACATTCTTAGTTGGCTTAAAGAAGTTTATTGAATATAGTAAATTACAATTTTAAAAGCTAATAATCTAAAAGAAACATTTGGATTCCTTTTTATACGAATGCCACAAAAAATTATATAAAATTTTCATGTTAGTACACTTATGTAGATAAAAACCACTGTACACTGTTGATGTCTTTCACTAAAGTGAAATTATTAATAGAACATATACTTTTATATGCATATCAAGAAGCTATTATTAACTCTGAAATTTAATATGTAGAATAATTCAGAATTTCAATATTTTCTAGACATTGGCTACTCTATGACCCTCATATGGATTACAGATATAATGACCAGAAATTATCTTTCATGATGTTAGCTGATAACTTATACTGATTTACATCATTTTTGGCTGAAAACGTTTCTACAGATAGCACCATTATTACCATTCTGAGCAAATTATCTCAACTGGGTAACAGTGAATATTTTATATTTTTTACTGTTCCGAAGCTAAAATTCTCACTTTTTGGTGTTGTTTTATCACTTAACTACCATATTTACCACAGTACCTATATAGATAATATCAAATGTGCAGTAAGTTATTTATTATTCATTGGTACTTACTACAATACACTGATCTATGATCTATTAACAGTAGCTTAGAACTCTTTTTGTTCATCAGGGTAAACATTACATAAATTTTCGAGAGCTGAAAGTACGAATTTATTTCTGTTTTTCTTATAGCAAGATGAAGAAGTGATCATGGCCAAATCTGACATGCAGTTGATGCTCCACAATTCACAGAAGATGTTACATGGGGCTGATAATTAGTGGTTTGGGCAGTGAAATTCTTCCACTCGCATGTCTTTAAACTTCAAAACTATGCAGCTGCAATAAAAAAAGTTTCCTCCTACACTCTTAGCATGCTGTTGAAAGCTTGTTAATGTCTAAAATATCTTTATAAACATTAAAAATCCAAGGTCTAAAACTATTTTTAAAAAAAGGGCCCAAGATCATTATGCTTCCAACTATAAATTTTATTGTTAATACAACATGCTTTTATATGCTATTTGCTAGATTTAAATATATCTTTTGGAATGCTAGATCACATACAATGACACATTGCTTCAAATAACTAGCTCTGGTCCATAAACCAATGACAATATTGTTTATAATATTCTCACGACACTTCACATTGAGACGTTAGATCAATGATTTTTGAGCAGAAGAAGAATTATGAAAAACTAAGGATAATATTAAACTGTTGGATAGCGTACTAAGTAACTTCCACTGCCAAGCTAAGACAGAAGTAATTTCAACAGTTGCTAAGATTATCTAACGATTTTGTTTAACTTAACAGATTCCAAGCTTTACTAATCTTGATTTGTCATAGCATGCTTTCTCAAGCATATCAGATTGATGCTTTAACATTTCTACTGTACATTTATTTCATACTCTCAAGTTCTGCCTGAATTAATCACCAGATTTGTAGGCATGCAAGATTAATTTTTTTCACTTACTTTTGATGAAAATTTTCATAGGGGTAATCGTATTTGCAGCTTTGTTTTTAAATAGCATTATTTATGCGTATCCACGGGTAAAAGTATATTAACGGATACGCCTTGGCGAAAATTGGCGATTTTTGGCAGTACATGGATACCGAGTTTGTGCAATTATTTGACCTGTTATTTTGTGATACCGGCGATTTTAGCGCCAAAAATCACCGCTACACAAAGCTAACACAAGACAAAATAACAAGTCAAAGAATTGCACAAACTCAATATCCATGTATATGTCTGAACTATTTTCACTTTAAAAAAAATTCACAGAATTGTGCAAACTAGGCATTGCAAACTCCCTTATCCATATACACGTCGACCTATTTTCACTTTAACAAAAAAAACATCGAATGTGTGACACTCAACTCCCACCATTAAGATGTCACTAAGAGTCAAGCCGCACCAATTCTAGGTAAAAGTATATTTACAGAACATTCAACTACTCAGGTTACCATAAATGAAACAACAACTTGGCGATAAATGAAATAACAATTTCGCTATAATACAAGGGGTACCCTTCAGTCTACTCTAACCTATCCATGTTACATGGGCAAACCTGAGTGTAGCTAAGGATTTATCATGAAAATTTTGGCTACACTTAACATGCTTCTTTAAGAAAATCTGAGTAAATATTATTATGCAAATTTAACATATATGCAAACAAACAACATTCTAATGCTTACTGACAAATGCACAAAAAATAAATGCAATTTCTTAATTATATGTTTGCATTAAAACATATAAAATACATTAGGTAGCTTCACATTTCATCATAACTGGTATACAAAAAATATACTTGCTTTGACTTTTCTATTAATATTCCCACAATGATCCCCATGAGTATATATCATTGATGAGAAAGTATTATTTTCAATATCCCAGTGACTCCAGATTCTAAATAAAATAATAATAATAAAAGAAACTATAAGAAATGTAGGTAGTTAATTGTAATTTCAATACATAACAAGTTAATAAGAATGCACAAAATATCACATTCAGTTTGGCTGCTAACCCTTCAAATTGCTGGACTTCATACAGAGTGTAGCAGAATTGATTGTCATAACTTCAAGGTGTGATAGAACATGTCAAAAGTAACAGTTTTTGTAGTAAAGCCTCTGATAGAATGTGAAATCAACCAGTAAACATGAAGAACATGAAAAACAAAAAGTCAATTTAATCCATATTTACATGAAGTAGGTTTTGATATTTATGAAAACTGTTCAAATAAATGACCAGCAACTGCAATATATGCATCACAATCATGACAGATCGCATTTATAAAATGCAGAATTGTTTTTTCCCGAAAACTTTATCACTCCTGAAGAAATTCATGACATGCTACACATATTCCTAAATGAGTGCCAGCAATTTTATTTTAATTTTGATGCATGTATTGCAGTTAGTGTTCATTCATTTGAACAATTCTTGTAAATATCAAATATTAATTTTTGTAATATCGGATTAAAATGCTTTGTATCCTCCATGTTCTTCATACTTATTGTGTCTTTACATTCACATTCCACTACACACTGTATTATGAAAACTGCAACGTTTGCCATGTTCTATCACCTCTTACAGTTGTGACCATTAATTCTCTTACAATTGCATATATATTCACACATTGAAACCTTGGTTCATAAATTTAATTCATTCTTGAAGGCCATTCACTAACTGAATGGCCATTTGTCAACTGAAACAATAGGAATTAATGTAAAATGGATTTATTCGCTCCTGGATTATAGATGATTGTTTATTTACACTTTACAACAGTACTTTATGCATGAGTTCATAACCCAAAATTGATGGAAATCATTAAATATAAAGTAAAAGAGATTAACACAATATTAAATAGATAAAATATATGAAACCTTAATTTAATACTGCATCTATATAAAAGAGAACGGATGGCATTCTTTAGAACGCATATTTGTTTATCTCTTCTTTGTCTGCAAGTGCCAAAACTGCTTGGGACCCACTGAACCTCTGGTTCAATTAAAATTTGTCCAATGTTATTGGAGTTGTCCACATTTTAAAATATTTCTCAAGTGAGACATGGCTTTGATACTGAAAATGCTTATGCTCTACCTTGTTGCTGCATTATCAGAGTGATAATATTATGTGAAAACTTTGCATTTTATCCCATTTTGTTGACTGGAGAACTAGGATCATTTTTCTATCTTCCTCTTTTTTTTAATGATATTTCTTCTACAACTGCCCTTTTATTGCTGCTCATGAAGTGGTAGAAGAGGTGGGGTTCTTTCCCTTCTGAAGTTATCCATAATATCTTTTGAATTAATTTTTATGGTCCTCTAGTAACTGCTCCACATCTTCATTGTTGACTACTTAGCTTTTGCTTAGAGAGACAGTATCATAGATAACAAATAAAAACAGCCTGGCCATAATTTTCTAAAGGCCAAATTCATGATCTTGTAATTCGCTTGCTGTCAGGCTTTGCTAATGAAAGTTAAGCAATAGAAAACAACAAAATGATGCTTCCAGAAGTTTCTGGGTGTTAATTATGTGACATAGGTCACCTTGAAACACCTTTGAAAATTATTTGTTGTCTAACTGAGAGTTTGTAACTCGAGACACTGTTCGTCATCTGAGGCATTTTTTGTTCAGATGATTAACTCATGCATCAAATTGTTCATGAAGTGAGGTGTTTGTGATTCAAGGTTCCAATGTATTTATAATAGCAGATTTGTTATAACTTTACATATATTATCTTGTTTCTTAAAGTACAATTCTATATTTCCTTTTATTAATGATCTAGAAATCAACTTGATGGCCTAATTATTATACACATGAATAATAAAATAAATTATTGCAGAAGATTGTGAAAAATGTTATGTACAGAGAGAACTTCAAAACTAAATATGAGAAATGTATAATTTACACATTTTTATTTATGACATGTATAATTTACATGCAGGTACAAGATATAGCAAAAACTATAAGCATTTAGTTTTCAATTAATGCAACTTTAAACATTGCACACCTGACAATTTGAGAAAATGTATATCTGCAAAAAATTACTCAAGGAAAGCTTTAAGTTTTTAATATGCATATGGTTTAAAAAACCGAACTTTTACACATATTCAGTAAAATAATAACAAAAATGTTTTATAATAAGCATACATAAGTTTCACTAATGGACTCAGAAAACTAAAGAAGGGATGGGCTCCAAAACCTAGGCAACTGTTTAGATTTTAAATGTTCATTAAAAGATTTCTCACTACATTCAAACTTTCAAAATACAAAATAAAATTCTGAATAAAAATTAAGACCATTTTTGATCAATTATGATAAAAATTTATGATAATTAATGAAATTTTCAGAAATATAAAAAATTAACATTAATGAGCAAAATTTATGAAATACATGACATGCATAATTTACATGCAAGTTTAAGATATAGCAACCAGGCACTGTAAATATGTAAGTAAACTAAATATCATTACAGCAGATTAAAAGGGTAAAGATAACAAAAGAAAATGGTATGTGTCTTTGAAAATGAAAGCTAAAAATGAAAGCTTAGAATAAAAGTCCAGGTATCAATAATGTACTTGGTAATTAGCTAGATTCATCCCTTGATTTACATAAATGCACAAAAGCTGTAACATTCAAACTAAAATCTTCCAATTAGAAATAAGCACTCAGTAAACAAATCCTCTTTTCTCTGACCTGTTCTTCTTGCATTCAAATGATATTCGTAAGGTTAGTTTAGTCATTTGTTTTGGTACTTATGTATTATTCTGTTGCATGTAAAAGTTGGCTATCATTGAATCATGAAAGTTGGTAGAGATCAACCGAACTGAAAATCTATCGGGGTTATACCGAACTAAAAGCACAGATGTGTTGAGTTTATGAGTGTGTTGGTACATCACACTTATCCATAATTAGCACTAAGTTGCACTGCTTGATGACAGTTTCATTTTTGATGGGATAATACATAAGTATCCTTGTTTTCATAGACGCGACACTAGCAAAATTACAATGCATGATCTGAACACCAGGTGGTTCCAGAATGTTAAAAGTCATATCCATTATAAAATATCTAGGTACAAAGCTATCTATGATAACATATTGCACAAGACTACACAATCTATTCTAGACATATTTGTGAGATGCCACTCACAACATCGTCAAGACAACAATTCAGATGACTCAACTAACTTCAGCCTTCAAAATTGAGAGGAACAAAACTTGAAAAAGAATAGTACTTCTTTTTAAAACAATCTTCCACCAGCATCAACTGTCCTGTTAGAGAGCTCTTACATATGTATGTATGTACTAAAAAAAAAGGGATAGTTCTATATCTCCCATTCCAATTGACTAAATTCACCTTGCATTTTTCATGTCTCAAAAGTGAGACTTAGGATATGTATTAGATTTATATATATAATTGTTCTAATATAAGTATTCTGGCACAAAATCGGACTTTTTCTGAAATAAGATATCAATTTTTTTCCATATATAAAATATGACTTTCAGTACAATAAATATCTTTGCATTCATTTTAAAAATTAAGGCATATTTATTGCTCCTAAAAGTGAAGTGCTTCTTAAAGAAGCATTAAAATGAAAAGCAACTCGAAGACTTCTGTGTATATTTATGCATTAATGTTATGCATTAACCTTTCCTTAGAGAATTCTATATGATGCCTTACATTAAATTGGAAAAGAAGTTCAACAATGTCAAATTTAAAAGTAACCATAAAAGCACACTTAGTTTGGCATAAAGTTTAAATAAAATTCTATTGATTTCTTTCAAGACAATCAGACATAAGTCTCTTTTCAGTGGGAATAAAAAAAAATTCCTTCAAGAGAGAAAAATTTGGCAAAAATAATTTTGAACTTGCAGAAGAGAAACCTGGGTTTGATTGCCTTTGAAATTAAAAGAATTTTATTCCAAATCTACAGCTGCTTTTCTGCCTAATTTTCAGTGCTTTATATTTTAATTGCATATATGGATTATATATGGTTACTAAAATATTGTTTTTTTTTTCAGTCATTGCCTTTCCATAATTTAAAGATATATATTTTAAAGAAAATTTAGTACCCTAAAATATAAAAAATATGTATTAATTATTATTACCCCCCAAAATTCCATGATATGCATTCCATCTAGGAGAAATTTCATACTGAGTAATATTTTGAAAGGACACACAGTTCATATTTATACCTGAAAATAGAAACAATTTTAAATGATTAAAACTAAAACTGGAAAGAACTAATCTGAGAAAACACATGAATTGAAATGAATTTAAAAGAAGTGTTTGTGTGCACATGCACCAGGGAAAATATCATAAAAACAAATGCAGTGTATATGTTCCTGTTAAAATATCATTAAATTTCTTTTAATTTTATGACTTTTTTTATAGCAATAATTTTATCATAATATAACCTTTTAGATTTTCTTTTTTCCAAAACTTTCTAAACTACTCTTTTTGATTCATGACTTACTGCTTTTACATTATTTACCATTCACACCAAATTTACAAATGTTCATTTTTCGTTTTTTAGATAGAAAGATAGTTAAAAACAACAGTTAGAAGATCTATGTGATATTATTTGAAGCTATACTCATGAAATAAACCACACGTCTAAAGCAAACTATTTTTTATTTAGAAATCAGACCTTATTTCTTGATTAAGATTTCATAAATAGATGTACAAATATAGACTGAAATAGAAATCTTGATAATCCAGAATTCATGAATTAAGCTGTGAATGGCTTGGAAATGGCCAGCTTCATCCAGATTTAGTTCTCTGTAAGAGTGAATTTTTCATCAAGATATTTTAATTTCAAATTGAAGACAGAAAATTTTGTATAGTTTTCCTTTCAAAGCAATGGACAAATTCCATATGAAGGTGGAAATTTTGGCATATCATACATCAAACCAATAAATTTAGAAAATTTTAATTTAGTGGAATGGGGAATTTTTTAAATTATAATTAAGTTCTTAATAACATAAAACACTATTTTAATCCTTAATTCTTATAATACATGTTTTCAATATAGTTTTAATATTTTTTTAAAATTTTTCTCCCAAAATAATATTTTAAACAATATAATCATGCAAATAAAAATATCTGCTTTAACAAAAGTTTTTAATAAATAATAATAATAATAATAATATTATAATAAATAAAAAATAAAAAATAAATTCTTAATAAAGTTAGGAAAAAAAAAAAACATGAAAGCAGTACCTTTGTGAGGGTAGTAATTTCCACCCTAAATCTATGGACTTTTTGCCGTTTTGGTAGTTTTTTCAAAGCCATGGCCCAGAAATGGTTGGCCCCGAGTCCAAAAACTTTATCACCTCATTTTGACATCCTGTGCAGAATGGAAGAGAGAGAGCTGAAAGTGTGAAAAAAGGTAGTAGATATCCACATGAGTGATGTCAAGGCTATATGGTGGTTGTGGCAAAAGATCCATTCTTCGAATCTGTATAGAGTACAGCCGGTGAATGCCAACATATTGTGGTCTTGCACTACAGTGTGATGAAACATTACCTTCTTTTGCCGAATTCAATTTGATGGTTTTCCTTGATAGCAGTATCACACGAACTAGCATCTCCGCATATGGATAACTAAACTACTAAAATTTGCTATATTGCTGTACACACCTTACCATCAAGGGTTTTAAACTTTTTCCAGATACTCTTTGTGGAATAATAACACAGTAATCCCATCAGATATAAATCACGATCTATCTTTTTGTTATCAAATTGAGCTTTGTAACATTGCCAGCGGGGTTCACCAGGCGCAAACCAACCCCCTTTTTGCCCTGTGTGTTGATTTGGTAATCTATTGTTCATCCCAACCATGATCAGTCAAGAATTTTGTCCTTGCATTGATATATGAGTAGATTAGTGCCAGCCCAAACAATGCTGTCCTTATCTGCTTGAGTCAGCTCATGCTGGCAACCTCATGCCCCCCAGCGAATGAACTTGTGCGTCAAGTTTATGCAGCGCATAGTGTGATTAATGGATGTAGCACTGATGTATAAACTCCTTAGCAAGCTGTCAAGTGGTTGCATATAGCACTAACGTCTAACTCTTTAGCAAGCTCTCAAGTGGTTGCATACTGATTTTCCACAAGTTCTTGTAGTGAAAGGCTTCATCAACATCAGTAGGCCAGCCAGAGCGCTCTGCTTCTTAAATGTCATATTTCTTGAACTTTCAGCATCAACCTTCACAGTGTCACATAATACAACATTAGTACCTAAAATTGTGCACATGATTTTGTGACATTCTGTAGCTGACTTTTTGTAACAGAACTGGAAGTAAATGATGGTTCTAATCTGGTAATATGATAGTTCTGTTCCTTGTACTTAAAGCTAACAATATTTTTAACAAATTTCACAACACAGTGTTCTAAAGGAAGTATCTTTCTTTCAAATGCCAAAAATCGTTTGACAAAATATGATTAAACATGCTAATGCACACTGTTTGTGCAGACGATATTTGCGATGGTGGGAAACTTTCATTAAAATCTGATATATGCTTAGCATATTATAGAATTCATACGATGAATGAGGTCTAATTTCAAGAACTCATCTTTGTGAAAGCTGCTGTCATTAAATTAATTTGATCCCTCCAAACAACAGTAAAAATACATTTCTTTTATATCTTGAGTAAATTTATTTCCAGATAAGAGCAACCTTTCATCATGTAATAACATCATGAACACATATATGTTTAACATACATGTTACATGTGCTGATGTTTCTATGTCATTTCATAATATATATCATGGCAGATAGAATAATAATTAGTAATTGATAACAGGCTGTAAAAAGAATATAACAGATCACATCAATAAGAGTAAACATAACAATTTTGCTATGTACATTTTCTATATATCTTTATTGGGCATTATATTTTATTCATTGTGCATATGCTTTTAACTTTTTAAAAGTTAGCCATTCAGTTATAATGCTAAGAGTAAAACTTTACAAATGTTTATAGTGTGTAAATATATATAATTACAAATGTTTACAATGTGTAAATATAATAATGCACAAATATGTGCGGGTATTAAAGAGGATAACCACAGAATATATCTGCAAAGTCCTTATAAATATTATGCAGGCAAACAAATGTTTACTTTGGAGATGCATATGGATAACTAAACTAAAATTTGCTATATTCATCATAATGTGCTATTATGTCAAAACAATTAGTGGATATCTGTTTAATGTGTGATAAAGTAAATAAAAGTGTGATGTGATAAAGTGCATTCTAAATCAAAGTGTAAAATAAATAAATTAAAGAAACTAAATAGATATATGAAATCTCAGTAAATGTCAAGAGAACATGAGTATTATATTTAGCTTGAAATATTTATACAGAGTTGAATGATTCAACTTGAAGCAATAAAAGATGGATGACTACTCAGGAGAGCTCTAACGTGGTGGTGGGGTTAACACGCTGACTGCCAACTATGTGATAGCTTATGGATTATATTCTTGTTCACACACTGACTATAACTCATGGTGCTTTTATTTGTCTTTTTGTTTGGAGCTGTGTTTATGGTCATAGAATATAGGTGTATTAATGTATATTTAAAGGGCGAAAATTCTGGAGAATAATGGCCTGCCGAAGTATAAAAATTATATCCTTGTAAAACTCCCACAATAAAATGTCACTTGGAATTAAATTCGAAGATTCATATGGCACATAGCATAAATACAGTATAGATTTATATGCTGTTTTCATCATCTTGTATCTATTTATATGTGGATTAGTTCAAATTTGTGTGACATTTTTCATGTACTGTGACTAATGAATTCTTCACCAAGGATTAACGACCCCGTGCAATGGTGGGAAACAAATCTTCTCTGCCTGATAAAATGGATACATCTACAGTTCAGAACCACATGCTAGAACCGACAAACGAAATGCTTCGTTTTGCAGATAAATTTTTGGGAGCCAACTGGAGTGCTTTAATAAATGTGGACTCACTTATGTTATAGGACTACTTGTGTGCTTTACAAACTATTGAAAAGCTGAAAACAAAGATTATGACAATCAACATGGATTTGAAATCATTGTGTGCTAGTGGTAACACAGGCTATTCAGACTATCTATGCCAGGGAGCACTGATTTGCAGAAAGACTATTAGAGATATATAAAAGAAAGTGCAAGTTGTTTTTGGTGCACACGATCCTGATTGTATTAATTTAAGTGTTATTGATATTTAAAAAAGTTATGGCTAGCAAACTTAAAAATGTTAAAGCTGTAAAGCCTGTAAGAATACTGATGGAAATAATGATAATGACTCTGATGTAAATGGTATTAATACTGTATCAAATGTTAATGATGATTCTGGTAATGTTAATGCTAAGTCCAAGAGACCATCAAAAAAGAATAAAAGGTCAGCTACTGATATCACGGACAATGACGGCCTTACTCAGCCGAAAAACCCAGCTAGGCTGTCTAAGTAATTAAGTGTAATGTAGATATCCCAGTAAGTAATAATTTAATGGCTTAAAACATAAATGATAATGGTAATCACAACACCAGGAACAGGGTGAGCCCGAGATTATTGAAATTGTAAACCCCCCCCCCCCCCCGAAAATTAAACTACACAGTAAAAAAACCTGTAGAAAAATTTTCTGACTTCGTTAAAAAACTAAAGAATGATACAAAACTTGAATTTGCAGTTAAAATTAATGGTGAGTTTCTGAAAGTGTTCCCTAAGACAGAAAGTGACCACAGAATAATTACTAAATACTCAGATGACAAACAGATAGATCATTATTTAATAATCAGCAAGGTAGAAAAACCTATTAAAGTTATCTCCAGAGGACTACCCATAGATTGTTCTAAAGATGAGATTCATGAGAGCTTACAGCTCTTGGCTATAAAGTGTGTAAAGTCTCAACAAATGCACAGATCAAAACTAAGGTTCATATGCCTCTTTTTAAGTCCAGTTGGAGAACGTACCAGGTGTAGAAGATATTCACATATAACTTACTTCATGTGTCTTCTATGTTACTGTTACCCCCTATATATATTTCGAAGTGCTGTGTCAGCCGTGTTGCACGTGGTTTTGCGGCTGTGTGCAACAACAAACTATGAGTATGGAATTTGCCAGAGTTTTTAAGGATGAATTCATAACATGCATAAGAGCCAATTTTTAGATAACAAAAACATTTAATCACATTACATA